GGCCCCTTTTTTGCCTCACTATATGTCTGGGCCGACGGGGCCGACACAACAACAAGATGCACGGGGCTTTCTTGTCGGCGTGTGTGAGCAACTAGTGGCCTACAAGCCGAGGGCGGCAGGGCGAGAGCGGAGCCAGGGCAGGGGCCGACTCACCGACTTTGAGGCTTCCCTGTTGTCCTGCCTGTCCTGCCTGTCCTGCCCTCACGGTCCAGTGGCCAGTAAGACTGCTGGTAAGCCTATAACCCGTTTATTCGCCCCGCCAGGCACTCCCACACACACGCGCACTCCCCCACACTGTCGTCCTCGCACTCACATTCGTACACACACACTCACCCGCGCACTGCGCACAGCCAGGCAGGGCCTCGCCGTGGTCCATAAACCTGAGAGCTAATCCACGGCCTCCTCGACTCCCCGTCCAGGTAGGGCGCGCCGCGTCACCCCTTCCCGGCCAGGTCCGGTGGGGTGGGAAGACTAAAGGGGACGAGCGCGAAAACCCGAAATCGAGTTGCCAACTTCGGTGCGCAAATTCAATCCGTTCGGGGCGCGGCGCGCCACGCCCCGGCGGCCCGGCCCGGCCAAGCGCGGAACGAGATGAGTCGCGGTTTCTGAGACTGCAATTAGCGGCACGGGGCGCGCCGGCGTGCGTGGCGATGAGGAGGCAGAGCCGCAGCGAGGGGCCGCCCGGCCGCACAGTGGGCCAGAAGACCGGTAAAGGCGGCCGAAATCCGGATTCTGCGTTCGGAGAACGACCCCATTTCTGGGGTCGCACGCTCGGTTCGAGTCAAGTGACTCTGGAGCTCAAAACGCGTCTGGAATTTTTTGCCACCTCCACCGGTCTTTCGGCCCACTGTTGGTCGGAAGGGCTAAGGACTGCTGCAGCTGCAGCCTGCCTCCCTCCGCCCTGCCGAGGGCTAACGAACTGGAATACGGAATCCTCTGGCTGCTCCCTGCAGCCGAGGCGAAGCGAGGCGAGAGGCGCGCCGTGGGCCGAAGGCCGAAGCCTCCGAACCGCTCCGAACCGATACAGCCACGAGGAGGCGCAGCGCGCAGCAGCTGAATTTTTCAAAAGCCGATAAAGTTGGCACTCCGTGATTACATTTCCGTGTTCGTGACGGACGGAAGGGCGGACAGACGGAAGGGGGACGCTGCGGCGCCGCGGCACTCGGCGGAGAGGCGACGCGTCCGGAATGAGTTGTCCCCACAGAGGGCAAACACGCGTGTGAAGCACGAAGCACTGCGAGGCACGCAGCAGGAGCAATACCAGGCGCCCCGGGGGGCGACTCTCTTTAGCATTCGGGACGAACGACGTGAGGGTCGAGCTGCTGGAGCGAGCGGTGAGCCCACCCACCGCGCCCGCCCCGCCCCGCCCCGCCCGTGACTCCCAGGCATTGACACTGGACTGTGTTTTATGAATAATTCAGGGCGAATGAAAACTGTGGCTTTCAAGCAAAGTCGGCGGTGGGAGGGGGCGGTCTGATAGCGAGTGTTTGAGGAGCGGGTGAGTGAGTTAGCGCGTTGGGGGTGCGCGCGGCGGGGCGCGGCGGGCGCGGCGGGGCGCGGCGGGGCGGTGGGGCGCGGGGCGCGGGGTTGTGGCGGACGCGAATGTCGGAATCAACCGATTCCGCACTGTTGATTTCGTTTCCCCCACCGTCCCCTCCCCGCGCCTGGCTGGCTGCCTGGCTGGCTGCCTCGCAGGGCATAAATAATCCGGTACGATGGCGCGCCCGTTGATTACCAGCGACTTGTCAAAAGCCGCCAACGCAGCAGCGAGCGGCCCGTCCGGCCCGTCCGGCCCGTCCGGCAACTACTGTCCGCCCCTGCCGCGGCGCGCCGTGCCGTCGTTCGTTCCGCGTCGTTCTGTCGCACAGCGTCATTCGCTGGCGGAACGGCGCCGTCCGCGCTCCGCGCCGCCACGGTCGTCCATGGCTCGTCCATGGCCCTGCCAAAGCGCGCTGCTCTCTTTTCGATCATGACAAAGGGCTTTCGGCTTTTGGCTCTCGGCTTTCGGCCGGGATGCAGGCCCGGCAACCCAGCGCGGCCCAGCCCAGCGCGGCCGCTACAAAAAAGCGGATCATCAGCCTGTCTTGTGTCTGTTGGTGAAGAGAAAATAAATGAAACGGCCGCGGCGCGGCGTCCGTCGGCGAGGGTCGAGTCCGGCTTTCCGTCCGGCTTTCGGTGCGGCTTTCGGTCCAGCTCGGCCGCTCATTCCTCACCTCGCCGACGTGCCGACGTGCTGACGCGCCGACTGCAGCGGTAAACAGGGCCGCTACACTCTACTCTAACTTTTAACGCCGACGGTGGCCTTGTTGGCCAGGGTTCCGCCGGGGCCCTGCGTGGCCACCCTGCCCGGCGCAGCTTCGACCATCGAAGCAAGTGGAGCAAGTCGCAAGCAAGGCAGAGGCACGGCCAGGGCGTCGGCCAGGGCGTCGGCCAGGGCGTCGGCCTTGCGCGCCTCGTCGTCGCCGCCCTCGTCACGGCCGCGACATCCTGGCATCGCGCCGAGCCAGCAGCCCTGCGGCGCCCCCGCGGTGGTCCTACCCCAATCCGCTGCCACCGCCTCCGTGTTGTGCCTGTGGGGGTGTGGGGCCTCAGCCACAATGCCTTGCGGGGCGGGGGGGCGGGGCGGGGCGGGGCGGGGCGCGGCCTGGCAGATGGGGTGAAAACGCACAATAGCTCTCCTTGTGACTAATGGCTCCGCGCCGGGCTGCGTCCGCGACGCCGCAACTCTCCCTCTCTTCCTCTGTATGGCTGCGTCTCCCTCGCACGTCGCGGCACGCCCCCACCGCATGGCCCCGGGCCGAGACGCCACGCCGCGGACGCAGCCCGGCTGCTGTGACTGTTGCTGCCGCCATGGCTGGCTCGCCATGGCTCCGCCGCACTTTTCGGCTATCACTCATCGCGACCACTGGCCTTCTGGCGCCTTGTGGCCTTTATTTCGAGATCTGCTTCAGACGGGTTTCGAGCCGGGCGCGCGGCGCTGGCCGCCTTTGCCGCTGGAGTGGAGGCAAGCGTCGTTTGTGGTGTGCTTCGCCGCTCCGCGAGGCGAGGTGGAAAGGGCCGCAGCCACTTCGGCGCGCCCTGTGCGCCTTGTGCGCCTTGTGCCTTTGCGTTGCCTTGTTTTCCGCACTCGAACGAGACTTTGTGCGTCGAGGTTCAGTTGACTAACTGCCCTTGCCGATGCCCGCGCGCCGCCGCGTCATGAAGGGGAACGAGAGCGAGAACGAGCTCGCCTCTCGGCTTGCCTCGGCTTGCCTCCACGGCGGCGTCCTAGTCGGCCTGCTCGCCGCGGCCGCCTGTACGCCGCACTATTCCGGGCCGGGATTTCGCATTCGCCGTCCCCGCGCCGGGCCCTTTGAGGGATACTTCTTTTGTGCAGAAGCCGGCCGCGGCGTGTGAGCGGCGGCACGCGGCGCCACGCGGCACGCCGAGGAAACAAACAACGCAGCCTTTCTGGGTCGGCGCCTCCGCGCCCACCCGCACTGCGGACCGATTCCTCGTCGCTCTGTCTCTCTCGCACGTATACGGGACGCCCCACGAGTGCGAGAGAGACAGAGCGACGAAAACGACGTCTGCATGTTCGTGGACGCGGGAGCCGACCAAGTCCGTGGCGCGGTGGCACGGCACGGTTTTACTGCGCGAGGCGCCAGCCCGGCCGAGGCCTTCCACCGCCCCACCCCGACGCGGACTCTGACGCGGGGCGCGGAGCATGAAGAAGAATCGTCATAGTTTATCGCACGTCAAACGGAGCACCGCTTCCTTTTAGTTGCCGGCATTCAGTGCGTTAACTGCTACCAGTATCGAGCCGGGCCATTCGGCCGTGCGCCCATTAGTCTCGCCGCCCGCCTTCGCCACCGTTCTTCTCTTTCTCTTCGACGGAAATTCTCTCCACGATTTCGCAATTATTTCGCAGTTTATTTACAATTTCGTAGTTATTTCGCCCGAGGGTTCTCGACTTACTTAGCGAGTGATCCCCCTCGTCGCGCATCCAGCTCGGGCCAGCCCTCCACCCTGCGGCGTTCCATTGGCTTCGTGCTTCTTCTCTTCCCATTTTATTTTCACCCACAGGCGCTCCATCGGGGGACAAAATATATTTACACCCAGAGGTGGCGGCGCGGCCGTGGCCCCGGCCCGCCCCAGATGAATGAGATGAGACCGCGAATGAGGTGTCAAGTGTCACCGCTTTGATGGAAGGGGCGCAAGAAATACTTCGGGGCGAGGGGGGAGGGCGTGGCGGCGTCGCGCGGGCCGAGGGGGCCCTTGAGCCGCCGAGGGGCAAAACCATCTCAGGATGGGATGAGGGAGAGCCCGTCAAGTGCCCGCCTCCCTCCTCCTCCCCCTCCTGCTTCACACCTGCTTTCATTTCCGAGCCCGGGCTGCGAGGCTTCGAGGCTCCGGGGCTGCGGGGCTGCGGGGCTGCCATCGGGGGAAGTGGCGAGGCCGCGGGTCGCGATGTCACGAGCACACCTGCGTAATAAAGGCGCCGATGGGCACGGCAGGCACGGCACGGCAGCAAGGCAGCGGCTTTGAATTTCGCTCGAGTGGTGCGGCGCTTGCTTGCGGAATTCACGGAGAATGGGGGAACGTTTTCTTGATGCTGTTGTGCGCCAACTATCAGACTTTCTTTAAGTCTTATTTTTCGCAAGTGCTTTTCTTTTTTTCTGGAGGTCTGTGCTATGGAACGCCTGCGGAGAGCGGGATAGGCAACTTTGCGACAGCTGTGTTTGGCGGGTCGGCCTACCCTCTCTTTGTGGAACGCCTGCGGAGGGCAGGGTAGGCAATCCTGCGACAGCTGTGCTTGGCGGGTCGGCCTACCCTCTCTTTGTGGAACGACTGCGTGGTGCAACCCCGCTGCTGCTTTGCTTAGCGGGTTGTCCACCCTCACATTACCATTACCACTACGGGCTGGACCACAATTGGATCGTATGCCGTTTCGGGCCCGACGGCGGTAGCTCTAGCTTTGTCAGCGTTGTCTAACCTCCCTGTCTCTCTCTGTTGCGCAGGCTGGCGATGCAGCCCGAGGCCCCCATGGCGGTGACCGAGGCCCTGTCGGCGCTGGGGTTCAGGGGTCGTGCCGTGGCTGGGACTCGAGGGACCCGAGGGACGCGGAGAGCAGGCGGCGGGGCCGTCGCCGCCAAGGCCCTGCAGGCCGCGCAGGCCGGCCACAGGAAGCTAGTACGAGGAGTGCGAGGAGTCCGAGGAGTCCAGGGCAGCTGCAGGCACAGGCGGCCCGGGCCTCTCGCCGTCGGCACCACGCCGTCATAGCGACCAAGGCAGGTAGTGACAGAGACGGACACAAGACGGACGATCCCGGTTTTGGCAGTGTGTTAACGAGGTTGGCGTTGTGTTGCAGCTTAGTTTAGTGTTCCGTCGCCCTCGAGCGACGAGCTGATTCAACGCTTGTACCAGGTAAAAATCACTACCCTTGATCAAACTTTGAGGTCGTGTCGTCCTGACGGTTCTGACCCCGGCCGTTTGTTTGTGTGCGCAGTTCCGAGAAAGCCTTCGCAGTGGCGGGGACCACGATGAACCTGCTCAACATGGACGCGGAGAACCGCGTGGTTCTCAACTGCGGCGGCATCCGACACGAGACGTACAAGGCTACGCTCAAGAAGATCCCCGCGACGCGTCTCTCGCGCCTCACCGAGGCGCTGGCCAACTACGACCCCATCCTCAACGAGTACTTCTTCGACCGCCACCCGGGCGTCTTCGCCCAAGTGCTCAACTACTACCGGTCAGTGCGAAATGAAAAATCGATTCGGCAGGTCGCTTGCCCGCTTCGCATCCCCGGAGGACCATTCACGGGAGCGGAACGGTTTCCGATGAAAACGGCCGCCCCAGGGAGACTCGAATCTGAGGATCTCCGGAAGCTCCCCGAAGTCCGAGGCCGAGGATGGTGGGTTCCGCCCCCTCGCTGCCCTCGTAGACCTAATGGTGCTCAGGCGCGCTGATGAAGAGTCGGCTCGGCCGCTCGGCAGATCGCCACCGGCAGCGAAATAAAAATCATTTTTTGTTGCTGTTTGAATCAGGCTTGGTGCGCGCGGACAACACCCGGCCGGAAGGGTAAACATTTGCCTGCAGTCGGCCAACAAGGAGCCCGGACATGTCGGGTCGGGTTGGGGCGGGGCGGGGCGGGGCAGGGCGGGGCGTAGCTGCTCGCGATTACAGAGGCTTCTTGCCGTGCTGCCGTCCTCCTTATTTGCTCGCCCGTGCGCCCCGCCCCGCAATGATTCGCTTGGAAAACAAAAACGCGGCGCGCCTTGCCAGCTTGTCCGGCTGGAGGCTGGCGGCTGGAGTGCTGTACTGGTTCCGCTGGACTCGGCATGCCCGGGGTGTCTCCGGGGACACGGGGTGATGGGGGCGGCCGAGGCCGAGCCGGAGCTGCTTCCGGGTCACCGGGAGACCAGGCAGTCAGGTGGATTTGACGAGGGCTGCGTTGGGCCGGGCAGGGCCGGGCAGGGCCGGGCAGGGCTTTGGAGCTAATCCATCGACGAGGCCCTGCCCTGGCCCTGCCTTACAGCGGCTTCTATGCTCCCAGTGGACCACCCCCACCCTTTTTGCCCCATTTCGCCGGCGCACTGCATGCCGCACTGCATGCCGCACCATGTCTCTGGCAGTGCCCGGAGGCAGAAGTCGCATTGAGTAACTCAACTTTCTCTTCTCGGTCTCCAGGACGGGCAAGCTGCACTACCCCACGGACGTGTGCGGTCCGCTGTTCGAAGAGGAGCTCGAGTTTTGGGGTCTGGACGCCAACCAGGTGGAGCCGTGCTGCTGGATGACATACACGCAGGTGAGTCGGTGAGGCGGAGCGAGGCGGAGCATGGCGTGTCCCTGCCGGGGAAGCGGGGGCAGGGGGAAGCAGGCGAAGCAGGCGAAGCAGGCGAAGCAAGCGAAAGCCCCGGCCATGTGTACTCTGCAAACTCGCCCCCACCCGCCGGACTTCTAAGGAACCCCGTTCCGGCCGCGCTGAAGCCGGGGGCAGGGCAGGAAGGGCAGGCAGGGCAGGCTGCAGGGGGCTGGGAGCGGCTGGGAGGCAGGGTCCATGTCAAATTCCTTCCTCAACAGGCACCCCGCCACCGCACCGCCGCCGGCCCTCCTCTCTGTTCCCTGGTCCTCGCCCTGGCCTCGCCCTGCTGACTGATTCCGAAGGGTCACTCTGTCTCTCTCACAATCATGGGTCGTCCCGTAGGGGTGCGAGAGAGACGGAGCGACGAATGGGGCGGCTGGCCTCGCCCGCATCCAACCGCGGAATACTAAAGCCCAGCCAGCCCACCTCGCGTCTTTCCCGTTGACATGTTACTCCATTCTGCCGCTCTGCCCGCAGCATCGAGACACGCAGGAGACCTTGGCCGTGCTGGACCGCCTGGACCTGGACACAGAGAAGCCGTCGGACGAGGAGATGGCGCGGAAGTTCGGCTTCGAGGAGGACTACTTCCGGGGCACCGTGTCCTGGTGGCAGCGGTCCAAGCCCAAGCTGTGGTCCCTCTTCGACGAGCCCTACTCATCCAACGCCGCCAAGGTAATTTCTTTTTAAGGGGAAAAACCTAAAGCACACTTTTTTTGTGTACGTGCACCGGTGCGATACCGCCTCTGCTGTCATTTGGGCCCTTTCAAGCCAAGCGGCTAAACAGCGATCGGGGCCGCGCTCGGGGCCAAGCCCCCGGCAGTGAGCCGCGGCGGGGCGCTATCGGGCGGGGCGGGGCGGGGCGGTCCGGGCCGGGGCGTGGTGGGGCGGGGCGGGTCGGGTCGTATCGCCCCGCGGGCGAGGGCGTTGATGCGTTTGGACGCCGCGGGCACGACCCGCCTCCACCATGTTGTTGTTGTTGTTGTTTGTGTTGTTGTTGTTTCGTCACCAGCCGTTCCCCCTGTTCCAGATCGTGGGCGTGGCGTCCGTCTTCTTCATCTGCGTGTCCATCCTGTCCTTCTGCCTCAAGACGCACCCGGACATGAGGGTGCCGGTGATCCGCAACATCACCGTCAAGACGGCGGCCAACATGACGGCGTGGACGCTGGACAAGACGCAGACCAACGCGCACGAGGCCTTCTTCTACATCGAGTGCGTGTGCAACGCGTGGTTCACCGTGGAGATCGTCTCCAGGTTCACCGCGTCGCCCAACAAGTGCGACTTCATCAAGGCCTCGGTCAACATCATCGACTACATCGCCACGCTCAGCTTCTACATCGATTTGGTGAGTGGGGGTTTGTCGGACTTTGTGAAGCCCATCGCTGAGCCGGCCGAGACCGAGAACAGGTGCGATGTACTGGGGGCTTTCGCCTTTCGCTGTTAACCTTCATTACCGAGCCGAGGCCTGGAGGCTTGCCAACAGACGGCGGCGGCCTGGCGGCCTGGCGGCCTGGCGGCCCGGGCCTAACTCGCTCCGCCCAGGAAAAAGGCCCAATCTTCCGCTCTTGTCTTGGCGCCTTCGTCCAGAATGCCGGAATCGACAAAGTTATCGCGGAACTGCCGAAGCAAAGAGCAGCGTGGCGTGTTTTGAAACAGTTTTCCCTCGCTTGCCACAGGTGCTGCAGAAGTTCGCGTCGCACCTGGAGAACGCCGACATCCTCGAGTTCTTCTCCATCATCCGCATCATGCGACTGTTCAAGCTGACGCGGCACTCGTCGGGCCTCAAGATCCTCATCCAGACGTTCCGGGCGTCGGCCAAGGAGCTCACGCTGCTCGTCTTCTTCCTGGTGCTGGGTATCGTCATCTTCGCCAGCCTGGTGTACTACGCGGAGCGCATCCAGGCCAACCCCCACAACGACTTCAACAGGTGAAGGGAAACAGGGAAACCGAGTGGTGGGCTTCCCGGCCTTCTCACTGTACTGCTTTACTCCGTTTGCTTGCAACTCTCGGTCGCGTTGTCTCAACAGTGTGGTCGTCCTCGGACGTCCTTGAGGGGCCCTGTTGGGAGTCTTCCTCCCCTTCTAGGAGTCGAGGCCGAGTTTGCACTATAACTCAGCGGCGTTCCGTCTGTCTTGTCCGCAGCATCCCGCTGGGCCTGTGGTGGGCGCTGGTCACCATGACCACGGTGGGGTACGGGGACATGGCGCCCAAGACGTACGTCGGCATGTTCGTGGGCGCGCTGTGCGCGCTGGCCGGTGTGCTGACCATCGCCCTGCCCGTCCCCGTCATCGTCTCCAACTTCGCCATGTACTACTCCCACACGCAGGTGAGTGCCGAGTCCACCGTGCTGCCACGCGCTGCCCTCCACCGCCTGTAACGTGCCCCATGTTCGGCAGGCGCGCGCCAAGCTGCCTAAGAAGAGGAGACGGGTGCTGCCGGTGGAGCCGACGCGACCGCTGGTGCGGATACCTGGACAGCCCGGGCAGCCCGGGCAGCCAGGGTGCCCGGCTGGAGGCGGCGGTCCCGGCGGCGGCGGTCCGGGCTGCAGAGCCGGCATGGACCCTGGCGGGGGGCCGCCCGTGCAGAACAGGCGGATGAACGCCATCAAGAGCAACCACCCGAAGGACGCCATGGGTGGCATGATGGGTGAGTGTGACGGGCCGGAACGGTCGTGACTACCTTCGTGTCGGCAAGGAACAGCCACGACTAATTCGTTCCAGACAATGTGTTACGATGTTACACAGGTGCGGCGGGGGACTAGGACAGACTAGGCCAGGCTAGGCCAGGCCAGGCGGGCACCCCACGCGATGCATGCCCATAGCGCCATGAGCCAACCCTCGTAGTGCATGATCATCCATTCATAATACTTCCCCTTCCCCGCTAACGAAAATACCAGCCTTCACGGTCCTCATTTTACCATACTTATTACTACTATTTCGAACCTTGCTTTCCTTTCAAGTATCAACTACGTAGTAAATCTGCTAATCCGAGCCACGAACATGTATTAACCTTTAAGCCTTCCGACATGCATGCATTTTACTTTCACTGGAGGTGGTGCGGTAATCGATCTGTTTTTTGTTTGTTTGGTTTGTTTGTTGTTTTTTTTTTCGAGATTTTTCTGGTACAACTTTTAAGAAGACTCGCCATAGTCACCAGCGTAATGGGAGTGATTTTGTCCCATTTGTGGCAGTCGAACTTTTTGGCGTGCCTCATTCAGATCGATGACCCATCCACCCCACCCCCAGCTTGTTACCCTTCTCTTCCTCTGACGCTCACTCTGTTTTTCTCTGTTTCCGGCGACAGACCCCTACGCGGCCGAGGAGCATGTGCCCATGTTGGACTTGTCGCAAGTGAACCACAAACTACGGGGACGGCTTTGAGGAAATGACATTGTAAATGCACTCTCTGTCTCTCTACACTTTTTTTCTCTTCGTGTTTTTGTGTATTTAGTTTGGATGGCGGTGTTGGTAGCACACCCGTTTCTTTTTGTTCATATTTTGTTTTTATTTCTGGCTACATAGCCACCGAGGCGAGGAGTACCATTTCTTGACAATACTGTCACAGGAAGCCGGTGTCTGGTTTTGCTTTGTACTTTCATTGCCGTGTCTTGGCGTGCCCGACGAGGCGCAGGTGCGGAGAACGCAACACGTATGGCGTTGCCCAGCCGCTCTGCCGCCTCGCCGCCGAGACCGCGACACTGTACTCCGAACGGCCGAACGGCGGTCGCGGGCCCTTCTGGCCTTCGGGCAGGGGGGGGGGGGGGGGGGGAGGCTTTCTGTGCGAGTCAGAGCCGAAATGGGCGGGTCGAAACCCGGCCGGTGAACGCGTCGAGCGTTTCAATGTTGTCTTTGAGCGGAGTGCGTAGATCTAGAGCGCGACTGCAACCGGAGAAAAGTTGGGAAGTCTTTGGCATGACTAGTGAGCTCTAGTGCCACCAGGTAACCAAGCTTTGCGTGCTTGCTGCAACGTGCTCAGCCTCTCAGCGTGGTGCGCTGCTGCTGCTTGCTTGCTCGGCTGGCCGCCGCGGTACCCGGCCGCGGTCCGTAGAAGAGACGCGGCGGCACTCGCTTCTGTTTTCATTTGTTTTGTTGCTTCTACGTGCTTCCGTAGTGTGCGGCTAACGCAGTGCTTTGGCGTGTCTGTTGCAGAGCACGAGCGCCGGAACGCAAGCCTGCGCAACAACGGCACCAAGTCTGGCGTGGGTGACCTGAGTGACTGAGTAGGCTGCGCCCCCTGCGCCCCCCTCCGCAAACCGTACGTCCCTCGGCAGGCCTTCCCCGCCAACTGAGTCTCTGCATTCATGAGAAAACGTTTCAAATCTGTGTTTTAACAAGCGCAACACGTGAGATCACGAAACTCTCACGTAACGTCAAAATAAAAGCTAAAACAATTAATTTTTTGCTGAAATTTTGACTTTAAGTAATTGCTTTGTCATAAAAATAGCAAAATTGTGAGTTTTTCGTGTTTGTTGGTAATCGGAAGGAAAATAGTTCAGCGGAGATTCAGTGGTGGCGAGGGAAGCGCCGAGGTGACTTTCTCATGACCCTGCTAAGGCTTCCTAAAGAAGTCTAATCAAACAAACCGGGCAATTTGATGTGCCGATTTTCTATTTTACTTTTGAGAGGTGTGCCGTACGGCGCCTTACGGCTGCATGTTTCATTGGCTTCTTGGCGCAGCTGTGTGTGTCTGTGTGGTTTGTGACGAGACTGGCATGCATCATCTGAGGTAGAAGACACGGCTGCGGGAGGAACGAGGAGGAATGTAGGTGGGAAATTTGGAGTGAACAAAAAAGAAGAAATTTAAAAAAAAACATTTTAGCACTCCCACCACGTCCCAGGAAAATTTCGTAGGTGTTGCGGTCGGAAGACCACCCTGTGTTGAACTGTCTAACATCCTGGGAGTCCACGCATGTAAATCAAGTGCTTACTGGGCCCTTCTTACCCATGTTGGTGAATGGTCGGTGGACATGGACGGCTTGGGGTTCGTCCACATTTTAAGTAACGTCTTCTGTCTCTGTCGCACTCACTGGCGATCCATGAGGAGCAACAAGGACAGAGCTATATGAAAAACGTTGCGTATCAAGTGGACGTCCTCCCGGCAGGTTCCTCTCAGCATGCGGCGCAGCGTGTCCTTTGAGTGTTGTAGTGTAGTCCAGTTTGCCGTGTACCTAGAACTGCGTTTGCGTACCACAAGATTAAACAAGACGTGGATGAAATAGTCGTACATCCGCTGGGTTTACTGGAAACGTACCGACGAGAGAAACCCCCTTGGAACTGGACGCGATGGCGAACTAACGCTTGGCGGTGGTGTTGCAGGTGCGCGGCGCTGCAACGCGGCGGGCGCTCTAGAGGATGGCTGCGACGTGTGACGAGGCCGTGACGAGGCTGTGACTAGGCCGGGACGAGGCCGTCACAGCGGCGTCACGTTGCGTGGTGCCTAGCGGACCAAGACCCGTCGTCAGGGCCTCGGCCGCAGAGCTACGCAGAGCTACGCAGAGCGGGCCGGCCAGGACCGGAAGCAGGACCGGAAGTGCTTCGGGCTGCCGGCCTCGGACTCACTGTTTACTTGGTGCATGCGTGCAAGCCGCCACGCCCAAGTGTGTGTGCGTCTGTGGCGGTTAGCAAGACGGACACTTCAGTCGCTTTGCAGTCGTTTCACAACAAACAGATCCTAGTGGCAATTTCTTTGTGATATTGGGAGAAGACGCAAGAGGAGAAAACGAACAGCAGTGCTCGGTGTTGTTTTTCCCTTTTTTCTCTTTGTAGGACAGTAGACAGTGACACATATCATCTCGACGAGACGTGTGCAGTGTCATATTTCTATATCGACAGTCTTCTTTGAGGCGGCCAGCAAATGGCTGCCCGATGTGCAGCCTAGCATAGTCACTGAAGACACAAGTCTTGAGGCATAAGTCCGATAAATTCTAAATTTATTTTATTGTGAAGCGTTTACGTTCATGAACAAAGTATTGTTATTAGACAAATAATGCTGGCTATAAATTCCGACAGGCAAGGACAAAAAGCATGTAAGCAGGATATAGGCTATTTAATTTATATTTTTTTTTCATTCAAAAGGTATACTGTCTTTGTCACTTTTATCCTTATGTAACACTATTGATCACACTGTTAAACACCATCATGATTTTTGTGAGGTTGGCTCTGAGTAACTGAAAATAACAAGTAAATTATCGACTGTATGGCCGCAATTTTACAGTAACATTAACAGTATTTCAGCGCTTCATAATATAACAAAGGTCGTTTTGAAGATTTATTTTTCGCTTGTCCACAGAGCCTTGACTCAGTGACTCGGAGCCAACCACGCCACGGTCATCACATTTTTCACCTTCTATCACATTAGCCTATTAAACACGCTTTATATCAAAATGATATATCTCTTTTAATAACGATAATGGTTAAGGGGACTCATCTGTGTAGCATGATATTTTTGTTATTTTTTGTTGTTATCAGCATTCTATCACTCATTTCTTTCAAACAATCTGTAACGACGCCAACAGTCAATGGTTGTCTAATGAATGTACATTCAGGCTTTGGAAGTACATTGCCAACAAGATGCAATAGCCTAATTGTATTGTCTTGGATTATCAGTCATTTTACGTATCAGTGTACCGCCGCAAATAAACAGTCTTCCATATAGTCTCGAGATGATGCCGATGAATGAAGATCGGAAGGGATACAACTCATCAGAACAACTAAATTTAAGTATTTCTCTAGTCACATATTTTGTTCCTCTACGTAATTGTACCGGCGAATGCTCCAGCTCAGAATGGAATAAACTGCAAAGTTGCGAATGCCACATTAATAATTTCTCTTTTTGCCACAATGTATACAATGTGAAGGGGGAGTCAAGGTGGATCATTTTAAAGTGGAGTGCCATTGCTCAAATCGCATAATAATTGTGCATGTAGTCTCTAAATTCTAATTTGATCATAATTATCTTTGTACGTTCTTTGGCGCGTGCTTCTTCCGTTTGTTTCCGATTGCCACCTCGTTTCAAACTTCTAGCGCGTATTTTGTAAGTGTAATCCAAACCGGCCGCGGAAACGGCTGCGAACGGAACAAATTTGATGCCGTACATCTCCCGATTTCTTGATTTCGTTTGACAAGACTTATATCCATTCTGTTATACTTCTACTAGCGTGGGCGTTGATATTCAACGTCCATGTGTGTCTTATTCTTCTGAAAAATGTTGTCTCAGTAGATTGCGAGCTATCATTGAGGCTAGTCGAGAACCTCATAGCGTCTCACATTTCGTACTTTTTCTATTAAGCTTTATCGAAGTGAATGAGCATGTTTCTGAGCAGTTTGTAGAGATCGTACTGTCTCGACCAACACAAATACAACGTTCATGATATTGAATAAACTGTCTAGGCTTGTTAAATTGCGACACAGTATGTGTAAGACATATTTGTGCTTAGATAAGTTCTGATGGGACTGCTGACCAAATCATTGCGCGCTAGGCGTGGCTATGCACTGTGGTTGTGTAAAAAAATACCACCGAGAGAAGCAATGTTTCACACATTGTCCCCCAGGATATTTTTTCTGCCTTGTTATCGTATTTGTAAATTTTTACAGATCAAAATTATAGACTACGCTGAATTGTATTTGTAACCTTTATTTGGTTTGAAGGGCTGGATAGTTCATATCCCTTTAAAATTATCGGGCTATTAATTGAAATACGCGGACAAAATTGTTACTGCTCATCTGATTTTATCGCTGTTTTAACATATTTTCTAACTTTCATTGTGACTTCCTCAGTGCATGCTGGTATTCTCTTATACCTCTACATGAAGAAGGACAGGTAGGGAAAGCTAACGTAGGCATAGGTCTCGAACAGGACTACCGGCGAACGGCCATTGTAATGAGTTATAGAAAGCAAAAGAATATCTGTCTCCTGAAAATTCCCCCAACACCTGAGTACAAACCAGAGCTACTGTTCCACTGTTCCACTGTTTGTTCTTGATGATGGCGGGTGAAGGCGGTGCAGGCCTAGACGGGTCTGGGCGGTCTGACGAATTTGGCACTCCTAGTCCCGAGCGCCTGCGGAGAAGAGGGCAGGCCGCGCCGCGCCGCGAGACTGCGTGGCGGGACTGTCTACCCTCTGTTCCGCGGGCGCTCGAGACGCCATGGCGACGAAAGAAATTAAAAGGCCACGCCCGGGGCTCTCCGTCCAGGTCCGATGTTCGGGTCCATTCCAGTGTATGGTGCGACGTACCACAGTGCACTCCAGATGCATCCCTCAACTTTGGAGGGTGGATTTGGAGTCGCTTCGGCATCAGAACAAACTGCTGCAACCCGTCTTCATTCTTTCCATTACGACTTTCTTTTGTTACATTCGTTCACATTTTACGTATCGTTGTTTGACTTTCGGTTTCATAAGAAGCATTCTGTAAATATTGTAAGCACTATGAAATATCATCTAAAGACAAGTATAGTCAAGGGACCAATGGAGAGAATCTTTTTTCTACAAAAAAGGGACGTAGGGATGCTGAAACGTAAGGAAATAGGAATTGTTGAGGTTCAGGCTGAATGTGGAATAACCAACAACGAGTTGAAATTTTTATCATTTTCTTTCAAATCAGTGGCATTTACTGTCCGAGACTATACTTCAACCGGCTCTAAAGCTTCTAATCGCTGTGAACCATGAAGATCCTGCTGCTAAGTTCATTTCTGTTCAACTTATGTTAATAAAACGGAGGGCCAGGACAAGGGTTTACCCCTTTGCTTGGTCTGAACGAAAAGAAAAGTGCATTTTCCTCTCTTTCCTGACCCACCTACTACTTCCACACCACGGATTTCGCGACGCGTTAGGGTGCTGTGCCGAATGGGATGCCTACCTCTCAGGCGTCATCATGATAGTGCGATTTGGTCACATCTGGAGAGAGGAGAACCAAATAAAAATCAGCATGAAGTTGTTAGTAGTTATTTATTTATAAAATAAACAGGAAATAAATTAATAGGCAAAATTGCACAGCCAACTTTTTCAAGTATTTTTTTTCCGACATTGTTGCTTGGAGACCGAATCCAAAGAGATGCATCCATCAAGACACGCACGGCTGCTGCTCGTACTTGAGGCACATCCCCAGATTGTCTTCGGGGGACTCCTCGCGCACGGCCGGCCCGAACATGACCCGGATGTTGAACGGCGTGGTGCTGCCTGCGGGCCGAGGGATGGATGAATGAATGCATGCATGGATACACAGTGCTGAGCAAGCTGTTCGATTATGCGCATGAATGAGTAATGAGACTAAGGCGTACTTTCGATTCTGCAAGTTGACTCGCCCGGGCTGCAGAAGGAGTTTCCGCAATGCAGAAGGTCACACAGTCCTGTGGAACCGAAGCCCTCCGCCTGAAAGTTAAGCATGTTTGTAGTCGTGTGAATACGTCGTATTTTCATTTTCTTTTTAATTACGTCACACGTTACATACGGCTAAAAATTCTTCAGAGTCACATGGCATCACGATTTTATCGTTACATTGTTCTCGAGCCTCGCCTACGATGCCAAAACCAGAGCCGCCAACTTCGTCGTCTGAAAAAAAAAAATCATTTTAAAATTAATCTTTTTACAGAAAATAAGATTTACAGTGCTTCTAGATAATTGCTTTCATCTCACCGAGCTGCTGCTGCGAGACGGCCGGGCCGATTTTGAATGAATTTTCGTCACAGGGTTCGTACACGATGGAGCACATGTCTGAACGAGAAGGGCAAAAAGAAAGTTTAAATTTAATGTTTTTAGGCGTTTGTTTCGACAAGAATGAGGCAGTGTTTTAGTCCCACCCTCTTCCTGTCGCATGCAGATGGTGTAGTCCTGGTTGGCGAGGTGTCGGCCGTTCTCTGCGAAGTTCATCGTCTGGATGACGCCTGCAACAACGCCATGAAGAGTCAGGGCACAAATTACAGAGAGGACGCGCGATAAAAGGACGTTTCCATTCAGTTTGCAGAGGAGGTGTGTTGTTTTTAGTAATCCACAATTGGCTATTCTGTTTTCTGTAAATAACAATCTCTTATTGACACTACTGCTGCTTATGTACAGAACGCTGCTTATAAATATGACTGTCACGAATAAATCGTTCTCCATTTGATTGCTGCCACAAACTCGTCTCAGTTCTTTCGTCCACAACTCCAGATCCCAGTTACTACAGGTTATGGGCCCAGCCACGTGCTCCACCAAGCGCTGAAGCAAAGGTGATCTGCTGTCAACTGACTGTAATCTTGTTTGTGCAGTTCTTGTACGGTCTTGAGGTTAACCGCCCTCATGCCACCGAAGAAGGAGCCGGTAGCCGCCGTGATGTACGTGAGCGGTGAAAACTTGGACAAGTCTGAGAAACTTGTGGGTTCTTCGAACTATGGATCATGGAGATTTGCAATGAAGAACCTTTTGATTGGCGAAGGGTACTGGGACTGCATCTCGCCTCCAGAACTAGAGGGAGGAGAAGCTCGAGAAGCGGTAGATACCAAGATTGAGGAGAAAGCACTGTCCCGCATTGCCAGAAATGTGTGTCCTGTTGTGTATCCTTATATAGCCGACTGCAAGACAGCTAAGGACGCTTGGGATGAACTTGCAAAAGCTTTTGCTGAGAAATGTGCTGGCAGGATTTATGCTGTTCAAAGGGCTCTGTATAGACTGCGACTTGATGACTTTAATAATGTTGATGAATATATCAGTGCAGCGATGGATTTGAAGCAGCAACTTGGAGACATGGAGGCTACCTTAGCTGATGATGCTTTTGCTAATATTCTTTTAGGTGGACTTCCACCAGAGTACGAAGCTCTAGCGATGGGAATTGAGAGTGCTCATGCTAAACTGACTAGTGCCACTGTCTTGTCTAAACTGCGAGGGCTGAAGAAGAATGATGAAACTAATACTGTTCTCTATTCAAAACAGAAGAAGACTCGACGTAGTTCTGATGGTGGTCCCCAGTGCTTTTATTGTAAGGAGTATGGCCACATCAAAGCTGATTGCCCAATTCTGAGGAAGAAGAAACTACGAGAACAGAGTAAGCCTGACCAACCACAGCACAAGAAGTCTAGTGGCAGAAACTTCAAGAAGAAAGGTAAAGCCTATGCAGCAAATGAGAATGGAACTAGTTCGGACCAAGAAGATAGTGATGCTAGTGAAGAAGCTATGTTGGCTGTATCCTTGATTGAAAGTGATGATTCAATGACTAGTATCTCTGAAAGTGAGGGTGTGACTGACAGTGCCATGATAACGGTAGCCATGTATACTGAACAGTGTGATGAGAAACGGGTGTGGTATATTGACTCTGGGGCATCATCCCACATGTGCTGTGATCTTGATTTCTTTTTAACCTTGACAGATAGCACGGCAGTTATAGCAGTAGCTGATGATGTGAAAATCAAAGCTAAGGGTCGAGGTAGTGTGTGTTTGAACATTTGTGATCAAGAGGTCACCTTCAAGAATGTGCTTTATGTACCTGACCTACGATGCAATCTGATCTCAGTAGGTCGTCTGACTGATGAAGATTACCAAGTATCTTTTACCAAAGACCACTGCCACATCAAGAACGGAAGAATGAAAATCTCAGCCTTTAGAGAAGGGAAAAGCCTGTACAAACTGAAATGCAAGCATGTACGTGTTTCTAATTCTCTTTTCGCAAGTTCCAGTGATACACCATCCTCAAAATCTATTCTATGGCATGGAAGATTTGGACACCCAGGAAAGAGTGCGACAAGAGCACTGGCCACTAAGATCGATGAAGCAAAGGATTGGGGACTACTGAATGGAAGTGGATGTGAAACCTGCACTCAAGGAAAGATGGCACAGTTGAAGTTTCCGACAAGTAAATCGGTGAGTCATGCACCACTTCAACTAGTCCACTCTGATTTGTGTGGCCCCATGAGAACTGCGTCCTTCAGCGGTGCTCGCTTTCTTTTGACTTTCCTTGATGACTTCACCAAGAAGAGTTTTATCTTTTTGATTCGATCCAAGGATCAAACATTTGACAAGTTCTGCCTTTTCAAGTCAGCTGTGGAAAATGAGACTGGACGAAGGATTAAGGTGTTTAGATCTGATAATGGGACGGAGTACAAGAATGGAAAGTTCAATTCCTTGTTTCAAGAGTGTGGAATCAAGCATCAGTATTCAGCTGATTACACCCCTCAACAGAATGGAGCGGCAGAACGCTTGAATAGGACCTTAATTGAAAAAACGAGGTGTCTTCTCATTGATGCAGGTCTTCCAGAGTCTTATTGGGGAGAAGCCATGACTGTTTCTAACTATCTCAGAAATCTGACTCCATCTCGGGTCATAGATTACCAATCACCAGAAGAGAAATGGTCGGGACGAGTGCCAGATTATTCTAAACTGAAGATTTTTGGGTGTCTGGTGTACTACAGAGTACCAAAGGAGACTCGCACGAAACTTGAACCTGCAGCTAAAGCTGGCATCTTTATCGGGTATGAAGAGAATTCGAAAGCCTATCGAATTTGTGATGTTACTAATCCCAGAAGAATAGTTAAATCTAGAGATGTAACCTTCTTTGAAGACAGAAGAGGCATTGAGAAATTGAAGACTAGAATTCCTGTGACTGTGGTTGATGATTGTCCTGACTCTATCAGCTTTTTATCTGAACCTTTTGTGCAGCAGCAGCATAATCCTGAGGTTCTACAACAGCCTACTCCAGAAGTACAACAACAATTGGAGGATCTCAACCTGGAACCGACTGTTGAGGAAGAGGAACGACCAATCGATCCTGTGGCTGAGGACGTCAGAAGGAATCCAACTCGACAACGTAGACCACCACTGAGGTTAGATGATTATGAAATTGCCTTCCTTACTGCTGAGTGCCCCACCTCTGTAGCACAGGCATTGGCATCACCCGAAGCAACTGAATGGCGACAGGCCATGGAAGAAGAGTACCAGGCACTAATGAAGAATCAAATCTGGACCTTAGTGGATCGCCCCAGGACCAGTGTCGTGGACTGCAAATGGGTATTTCAGAAGAAGACTAGTGCGGATGGCACTATTCGACACAAGGCCAGGCTAGTTGCTCGTGGCTTCTCACAAGAAAGAGGTATCAACTATAATGAAACTTTCTCTCCCATCACAAGGCTTTCTACACTCAGATTGTTATTTGCCGTCGCTGCAAACATGAATCTTGAGTGTGTGCATATTGATGTTATTACTGCTTTTCTCCACGGTGATCTCGAGGAAGAGATTTTTATGGAGCAACCACAGCAGTTTGTCCAAGAGAAAGGGAAAGTGTGCCTACTGAAACGAGCCATTTACGGACTGAAGCAGGCTTCTAGATCATGGCACCAGAAGGCGACAGTCTTCATTACGTCCCTTGGCTACAAGAAATCGAGCTACGACGATAGCCTCTTCATCAAGAAATGCGGTAACCAAGTCACATTTATTGCATTATACGTGGATGATTTCTTCTGTTTCTCCAACAGTCCTATGGAAAGAACGAATAGAAACTCAAGAAGGTCCCCTCCAGGTCCGATGTTCGGGTCCATTCCAGTGTATGGTGCGACGTACCACAGTGCACTCCAGATGCATCCCTCAACTTTGGAGGGTGGATTTGGAGTCGCTTCGGCATCAGAACAAACTGCTGCAACCCGTCTTCATTCTTTCCATTACGACTTTCTTTTGTTACATTCGTTCACATTTTACGTATCGTTGTTTGACTTTCGGTTTCATAAGAAGCATTCTGTAAATATTGTAAGCACTATGAAATATCATCTAAAGACAAGTATAGTCAGGACCAATGGAGAGAATCTTTTTTCTACAAAAAAGGACGTAGGGATGCTGAAACGTAAGGAAATAGGAATTGTTGAGGTTCAGGCTGAATGTGGAATAACCAATAGAGTTGAAATTTTTATCATTTTTTAAACAGTGGCATTTACTGTCCGAGACTATACTTCAACCGGCTCTAAAGCTTCTAATCGCTGTGAACCATGAAGATCCTGCTGCTAAGTTCATTTCTGTTCAACTTATGTTAATAAAACGGAGGGCCAGGACAAGGGTTTACCCCTTTGCTTGGTCTGAACGAAAAGAAAAGTGCATTTTCCTCTCTTTCCTGACCAACCTACTCCACCCACGGATTTCGCGACGCGTTAGGGTGCTGTGCCGAATGGGATGCCTACCTCTCAGGCGTCATCATGATAGTGCGATTTGGTCACATCTGGAGAGAGGAGAACCAAATAAAATCAGCATGAAGTTGTTAGTAGTTATTTATTTATAAAATAAACAGAATATTTAATAGGCAAAATTGCACAGCCAACTTTTTCAAGTTTTTTTTTACATTGTTGCTTGGAGACCGAATCCAAAGAGATGCATCCATCAAGACACGCACGGCTGCTGCTCGTACTTGAGGCACATCCCCAGATTGTCTTCGGGGGACTCCTCGCGCACGGCCGGCCCGAACATGACCCGGATGTTGAACGGCGTGGTGCTGCCTGCGGGCCGAGGGATGGATGAATAATTGCATGATGGATACACAGTGCTGAGCAAGCTGTTCGATTATGCGCATGAATGAGTAATGAGACTAAGGCGTACTTTCGATTCTGCAAGTTGACTCGCCCGGGCTGCAGAAGGAGTTTCCGCAATGAGAAGGTCACACAGTCCTGTGGAACCGAAGCCCTCCGCCTGAAAGTTAAGCATGTTTGTAGTCGTGTGAATACGTCGTATTTTCATTTTCTTTTTAATTACGTCACACGTTACATACGGCTAAAAATTCTTCAGAGTCACATGGCATCACGATTTTATCGTTACATTGTTCTCGAGCCTCGCCTACGATGCCAAAACCAGAGCCGCCAACTTCGTCGTCTGTAAAAAAAAATCATTTTAAAATTAATCTTTTTACAGAAATTAATTTACAGTGCTTCTAGATAATTGCTTTCATCTCACCGAGCTGCTGCTGCGAGACGGCCGGGCCGATTTTGAATGAATTTTCGTCACAGGGTTCGTACACGATGGAGCACATGTCTGAACGAGAAGGGCAAAAAGAAAGTTTAAATTTAATGTTTTTAGGCGTTTGTTTCGACAAGAATGAGGCAGTGTTTTAGTCCCACCCTCTTCCTGTCGCATGCAGATGGTGTAGTCCTGGTTGGCGAGGTGTCGGCCGTTCTCTGCGAAGTTCATCGTCTGGATGACGCCTGCAACAACGCCATGAAGAGTCAGGGCACAAATTACAGAGAGGACGCGCGATAAAAGGACGTTTCCATTCAGTTTGCAGAGGAGGTGGTGCGCCCGCAGCGGCCCGCAGCGGCCCGCAGCGTTGGCGTTCCAAGAGTGCATGGTGTTTGGGCAGGAGGGGAAGACGGGGTGGGGGCTCCGGAGGTAAACACTTGAACCGCCTTTGCGGAAGAATAGGCAGCAAGGCCGACGCCGAGCCTTGCTCCGCGCCCCGCCCCGCCCCGTCCCGCCACAGGTAGCAGGCCGAGCAGGCCGAGCAGGCCCCAGCCCAGGTCGTTGGTGACTGTTCCGCTTTGTCCTTGCCAAGGGCCCAAGGGCCCAAGGGCGCTCATCGGTGAGGAGCGAGGTGGGGGGTGGGGGGCAGGGCTTGTTGGAACAACCCTTCCCCTTCTTCAAGGCGAGCGGGCTCCGCCAGGCTCCCGCCTGGCTCCAGCCCCCAGGCAGCACAATATTTTGCGCTGTCGAGTGTTTGATTTGGACTCAAAGGCGGTGAATGCAGAGAGGCGGCCGAGAGCAAACGTTTTACCGCGTTCGCGTCCTTCACCTCCTCCCCCGCGATCGCAAGCATCGCGGCATTGTTCGGCAAGCGCTTCATTTGCTCACCTTTGCCGTCGCGGTGATACTGCAGGCACCCGGAGGGCACCCGCTGCTGGAACTCGATCTGCGTCACCTGCAACAAGAGGCCGTCAGGCCGTCAGTGGCGAGCAGACGTCGCGGTGCGGCCGGGGCCTTGGCCAGGACTTTGGCCAGGACGACGACGGCGACGCACCTTGATCTCCCACAACCTGGCCGTGTGCTCCCTCGACATGTTCATCAGGATGGTGATGGGCTCGTCCATGTCCTCCACGTCGAAGTAAACTGTGGGGCAAAGCAAGTTGACAACATGAGACATCTCACTGTGATTCGGAAAGTGGAAAGCCAGGTCTGGCGCGCGTTCCCGCCGTGGACGCACTGTGCTGGCCGCTGTTCTGGCCGCAGACGCTGAACTCCCTGTTGGTGCCCGCGGCGATGACGAACGTGTCCGACTCGCAGACCCCCGTGCGCCGGTTGGGCTGGCCCTGCACACACGGAGCGACACAGAGGGACTCAGTGGAGGCAGCGGAAACGGAAACGCTCAAAACCGAGACCCGGGTCGGGACTCAAAAGACCCACCATGTTGAAGTGGACGAAGTCCAGGCGGAGCTGCGACACCTCGGGCCCCATCTTCTTCACCTCCAGCTCGCAGGAACTGGCCTCTCTCGTGATGGCGGGGAAGTTGGGGCTCACGAAGTAGGTGACGTTGTTTTCGACGACGTCGCCGCACGACGCGGTGACTGCAACAGAGCCAACAGAGCGGTCGCGCCGTCAGTTTGAGGGGCGGTGAGGGTGAGTAGTTGTCCCTTGGATGGTCCTACTCACAGACGCAGCACACGCCGAAGCCGAGCGCACAGGGCCCGTAGGACTTGCCGTTCTGGATCCGGCACTCGTAGGTGTTGAGACAGATCCCTGCAACAGAGAACGCGCCGCGCGCGTCAATCGCAAGTCGAGCCCAAAGCCACATGCCACATTCATCTACGCGATTCAACACAAAGCTTCCGGGCGAACGCAAGAGAATTAATGGTGGTGTTTGTACCGAAACGCTAGCGGCGCTAGCGGCTAGCCCGCGCTAGTGCGGCCACTGACCGGTCCTCCTGCCGTCATTGGACAGACACTCGTCGCTCACGGGGACCGGGAAGAAGTTCAAGACTGCAACACAAACACACAAAGAGGGCACTCATTAAATCATTTAAGACGATTCAAACTTTTTCTAACATCACCATTTATCTGCATCCCAGAATCGCGTTTCTTTCGGACAGTTGGATGGAACAGACAACGAGGGCATTGTAATGTCCGATGATCGACGGCTCGGTGGCCATCTCTGGGTAACGCGCCAGCGGGCCAGAGTCATAACTTCAACAGGTTTATAGTAGCGGGGCGCCACGCCGGACGCGGCCCCCTTGCCCCTCACCGCGCCCCGCCGCGGCCCTCTAACCTCCTTAGCGCGTCGACGCATCACTGGACCGGCGCGGACCGGCGCGGTGCCCCCTCCCCCCGACGTCCCCCCGACGCCGCGGCACCGTTTGGCGCGCTTTCCCAGCGGCGATGTGGGATCCCCAGACACGGTTCGAAACGGCAGCGACGGGCCATCGACGATCGGCGGGGAAGCACCGGGACACGCCAATTTCAATTTCAACACTCGGTCCCAGCTCGGTTCAGTCCGACTCACCTTTGCCAGAAGAGCCACTGTCGGAGGTTGCTGTCGCCGTGCCCATCAGGCTGCTGCCCACGCGCTGCAGCTTGTCCAGGATGGCGTCGGCGGTCCAGCCCGCGTTCCAGCTCCAGGGATTCCAGCCGGCCCGGCCAGCGTGGGCGACGACCGGCGCTGCGGAGCGTGCCGTGCGCGTGTGGCGATGCACGGCGGATCGCACGAACCGGGCCACGGCGGACGGGGAAGGCCAGGACGGCGTCGGCCAGGACGGCGTCGGCCACGCGGAGGAGCAGCCCAGCACGGCCAGCACGAGGAAGAGGAACAGCACGGCCACGCTGCGCCCCGTCCGCCGCCGTACGCGTGCGCCGCGCGTGTCTGCGCCGCCGTGCACGCCGTCGTCAGCACAAGTCCGTCTCCGGCAACGCCACGCCGCGACGATGCCGTGCTCGGCCGCCGCAACAGTCCCGCAGCCGCAAGCCTCGTCCTCCTCCTCGTCCACGTCGTCTAGGGCGTGTCGGCGGCCCCGCGACGTCGTCCTCCGCCTCCACTCCTCTCCGGGACGGTGCATAGCGATCGCGTCGGCCGGGTGCCCCGACGTTCCGTTCCTTGCGCGTGGACAGTGTGGGGCCAACTGACCGACTGCCGACTGCCTCCGGGTCCGGGCCCCGGCCGGGGTAGGGTCCAGCAGCCTCCGGTACTCCGGTCCGGAGCCAGAGCCAGAAGGCAGGGGACAGACGGACAAAGCTGGCGGGCGTCATGGTGGCATCAAAACGAGGGCAGCGAAAGAAAAAATGAATGTGAGCAGAAAAGTTTTAAAAAAACGTTATTTTTCCCAAAAAATTTCCAAGTTTTTTGAATTTTTGTTTGAATAAAAAATGAACTGTTTATTTATGAGAAATATTGATGCTTCAGTTATTTATCCAAATGGCATATGACTTGCTTCGCCAATCCTCTCGGCCGCGGACATTTTGCTGGCATCTCGCTCTGCTCCGGGGACCGTTAGCAAGTCCTGGGTGACCCAGGTCCATGCAGCGTCTTTGCCACGCCACGCCACGTCCTGGACACCGGCCGCATGGGACACGGCCACGCCAAGGCCAAGGTCTGGAAAGTAGGTGGAACACGGTGGGCGGCGTCTCCCCCCCCCCTCTCTCTCTCTCTCTCTCTCTCTCTCTCTCTCGCTGACCCCTCAGCAAACACATCCTGCACACCCTATAAACGTTTTAAATGTTGTATCTTCTAAGTACTACACCACAGGGTCCGATTCAGCAATGTACATTTTCCAGATTAATTTCAAGTTTTCAAGGAATCGGGCTGACCGCTCACTCGCAGTGTCGCCTTCTTCGAACCCTTTGGCCGTGCCCTTGACCCGAGCCCTGAAACCTCCGCGCTCCGTGCTCGCGCAGTGGTGTACGTGACCTAACGCACGAACGCAACAGGGCCAGGGCACCCGAGGGCCCGGAAGGGCCGGTCAGTGAGCTTCCCTGAGCCTTAAGGCCGGACTCTCAGCTGGAGGAGGAGGGAGGAGGGGAGGAGAGAGGCACAGACAGACCGAGCGGCGGCGCAGCTCAGCTAGTTGCGCCGTAGCATCAGTTACGCTGTGCCTTGGCTCCCCGGTCGACGCCGTGCCACGACCATCCGCTCTGACATCCCACGGGATGCCGGTGTATGCCGGTACAACATCCGGTGAAGATGACAACTGACGAGAACCGGTGAAACCGTCAGGGTTCTGGGAACCACCTTCCAGGGTTTCGGGACAATGTGATAGAATAACGAACGAAGGTTGGAGTGCTGCTTTAACTTTATTTAACAATCAATTATTTAGTGTAAACTTTGCATTGGAAAAAAAAAGAAAAAGAAATGAAAACAACACCCTAGAGAATTCATCAGGAATTCCAATGCTTAACATGCCCTGTGCCAGACTGGAACAAACCACATACAATGTAATGCAAGAAATTCGTTCTAAAGCATATGCTTAAAAAAAGGAGCCATACCAGTACAACAGCATCAATTACCTACATTGAGTTCAAATACGAGGGGAACACATCTCAGTTGGTCTCCCAGTGGAAAGTGTCCCCAAGGCAATTACAAATCTAAGTATTGAAAAATTATCCTAATACACCGGCAATCCAACTATTTGGCCTAATTTCTGATAGCAACAATCAAGACAACTGTACAAAAGAGTACAAGCTCTACATACATAAAAATTACAAAAAAAACACATCAGATTTACAAATACAATGAAAGAACTTTACAGCTTGTCACATATTTTCTGGAGGCACCATACCATTTATGCATACAATTTTATTGAGCCCCTGATTTCACATTTTAAAACAGCAAGGATATTTATTTGGCCTTAAACAAGAAAGCACGAGACTGTAAAGAATAGAAGATGTAAGATGCAGTTTAAAATTGGAATAAAATTGTTAAAGCACACAGAATGCATGCTATGTTGTCCTCTAGCTTGTAAAAACACAGGGGACCAGAACTTCAACTGCTTGATGCATAAATAAACAACTTAGGTAAGAAAGAAAGAGAAAAGATAGTGGCAGAAATAAACCATTAATAAGATTAAGAAGTCCAGCAAGTAGCCACTGCTCGATATGTTTGTCAGCGCACTACTCTGACTAGCTTTTTGGTCGATGCACATTATAATATTGACTGACCACATTCCCAAGAAAAAATGCTCACAAGCGCGGCACAGGGCACACCAAACAAGTCATGGTCTTTTGATCTGATGTCCTAACAGATGTACAACAGTACAAAGTGGAACTTTGGTACACTTCAGTACATACGTATTCTAACATGTTACATAACATACAATATCTGCTGATTTACTGAACAAGAAGCAACAGCAGATGGAACAGTGGTAATATACAGACAAAAAATGTACAAACTTGGCAATGCTCAGCCACATAGCCCCACCAAGCTATGAACAAATACAAGCTTCGTTGTTCTAAATGTTAATTATTTTTAAAATTTTCCCCCCTTCCATATTACTTAACATACATAAATTATACACCACTAGGTTGACATACACATACATAATTATATAAATATGCATATACATCTGCAATATATGTATACATACATACATATATATAAGAGATAGAAATACATAGCTATATCAAAGAAAAGACTTTCAAAAGACCTAAAACAATTGATATGCTCTGACCACTGGACCAACAACACAAATTAGCTAATACGATCCTTGATTTGAAGCCATAGGTAACAGTGGATTGAACAGGCGCCGTCACAGCTGCACATATTACAAATCTACAGATCCCATTTGGTTGAATTTGCTATGCTTTGTACAGAACATTAGGTAAAAGGAATATCTCTAATAAAAATGTCTCCCTTGCATTTTCAACAAACTTAAGCAAGAAATCTGCCTTCCTGATTTGCCACACAAACCCAATAATGCAGGTAGTAGAAACAACAAAAAAATTTATATTAACTCATGACAATGCTCTGAATTTAACTGGTAACTTACAATTCAATAGCAAACTTTTTTTTTCTGTAATTCTAACTAGTATGCCTCTACTAATAAAAATATATGTGATGATTCAGATTCCATGATACATTCTACACACCAAATTTTTAAAAAAAGGTGAACAAATAGGAAGAGAGTACAGGTTTCGCTCATGCACTACCTAGCCTACATTTTTCACCCAAAACTGCTGAAGGGCTCTAAAAGCCTACAGCAGAGGCACAAAATGTGGGTGAAGGAAATGTATGCTTAGTGACACTTCATATGCAATACTCCAAGGTTTATACATCAATATTAAAGAATACACTCACCTAGGCTTATGAATCTCAAGGTAAAGACGAAATAACTGTTTAAGTGTTTCATAGTTTGTTTTTCTTTTCTTTTCTTCTTTTTATAACAATAAAGGATTGTTTAAAATTTAATAAGAATTTAAACAGTAAAACTACTGCAGTAACCATACAAGATCAAAACAAACAAAACACATACCTTGCAGATTTGATTATTTTTTAAAAGGCAGGAAACCAATGACACAGTTTCTGAAAAATACACATAAGCAAATAAGATACTTTGAACTAACATTAACCTGCATATTCAGTGGACAGATATGACAAATTTTGACTGAAAGTGCCCTTTGAAACAAAACTTTGACTAGTTGATTCCTTCAAACTGTTTGGTTATTTTCTTTTTTGTAATGATAGAAGACAACACAATTAAAACATGATTAATAATAAACAACATTGACTTATCACATGAAAAGATCTAAAATTCTTGAAATGTAAGAGTTGAAATAGCAATGAAAAGTTCAAAGCAAGGTTTGTAATGAACTTCACAGTCGTATCTTAACAAACTTGCTCAGAGCTAGAAAATGAAACTGATGAGCAAAAATTTGAGACAGATTGTTTGTCTGATAGCATTATCACCACACTGAATGCAGTGATTAGAATTCTTTTTCCAGATACAACAAACATAACAGGAGAGAAAAGCAGGAGTGATTTGCTGCAGAGTATCATACAGAGTCGGAAACAAATTTAAAAGTAATGATTAGTTAATGTAATATTGATTAGCACTCCTGGAATAATGAACTGATGTCAAGATTTCGACCCTTAAGTGAGAGAATAGGAGCGCACTCTGGCAACAGAGCGAGAAAGAATGCTAGAAATAAATGACTCATGCATGGCTCAATGAAACTTATGTCATAACAGAAAAGGGATAAGATATACAGTATAGTATAATGAGCGAATAGGGAAGGCCACAGAATGTTACAAGTATACTATGATGATTATACATTTACAAACAAACAGATTTATGTGGAAAAAGTCTAGAGTAGCCAACAAATGAAATTTCAAAGCTTTGTTTAAGAATATATAGATAAGCAGCACAAAGTTTCACAAACCTTACAAATTTTGAATGTTTTAATATCTTGAATAATCATGTACAACAAAAAAAAAAGTGAGTCAAAGAGGGAAATTTTTAAAAGAATCATGTGGACAATTAGATAAGTATGTTCAATGTGTCCACAAAATCAGAACACTAATCGAACCACTATTCCAAAACAAAGCATTTAGACACGTACATGATGGCAATGCAAGCAAACAAACAAACCACACCTCTTAGGTAAGTGCTCAAATATGGAGAGAAAATTGATTTGGAAAAAAAGAAGACTGCTGGGATGTGCTTACACACAGACACTCGTACACACACGCATATATGTATATATAAATAAATATATATGCCTAGATCTAATTTGACTTACACAGACACAGATAAACATGAAAAAATATTAAGGCGACAGTTGCTCAAACAATTATACTGGGGGATGCAAAGACATCTCAAATGCACATTTCCCCAAATATGAAAAATCAAGAAGCAGTGTACACAAGCACTTAAGATTTCCAACAGTTATATAATCAGAATCGAGATTTGGAGGAAACAACAGGAAGAGCGGTCCACTCAAGTGGCAGTGATGAAATAATGTTGCTGGCTCCTTTTCTGAAGTCACTGTTCCCATATCGGCAGTGAAGAGCACTCTTCCATCCCCCTTAAATCAGCGTCAATGTAACTTATCCTTTACGGAATGTCACATGAAGTCTTTCATCCAATTTAAAGGAAGTGAAAGATGTAGGAACATGCATTTAATTAAATGGTCTGTTTGTATGTTCAACAGGCACTAAAGTGCTTCTGAACGTCTAAGTCTTTCTTTAGGTAGAGATCTTATTGGCTTTGTTTGAAGTTCTTAATAACGTGATAATCTCATTCAGTTTCTGTTTTTTTGTTTCATTTTTTTGTTTTCTTAGATCAGTAAAAACAATCTGTGAACTATATTTTTTGAACAACTTGTTCAGTTTGTAGAGGTCAGCATTAATGACAAATCTTTGCTAATATGAACATTAGAAAATAAATAACAATAGCAATACCAATTCCTTCCATAAACTATGACATAAAATGACTTAGAAGGAGAGTCAGGTCAAAATCTATTCCCCTCAGAAGCAAAGCAAGGAATACAGTACCAGTAAACGTACACTCACTGTTTAACACCCTTAGCAGTGCTTGCTGACCATAGTTCTTCACTTTTTTCAAAATCAATCTGGGCATAAGTGAAAGTTCCTCCAGGAGGGTTGGGACTTGGTGAAGAAGTGGAAGACTGTGACTCACTTAAGGAGCCTTGAGTTTTCAAACCTCTAGGACTCCGTGTGCTGGAATCCTCTGACTCAGAACCCGTTCTCAGGTCAAGGGAGGCATAATTAATTTCCCGCTCAGCAGGACGAGGAACTGGAGACGCACTGGAAGGAACTGGTGAGCATGACAAACTACGTTTTTCTGTCAAGGGGAGTGTGGAGGACGAAGCTTCCCCAGATGTAGATGAGCTAGATGTTTGTCTGCTCAGAGAAGATCCAAATTCTGATAATCGTGACTCCTCTAACTGACTTCCATCACTTACATCACTTGATAATGAAACCTGAAAGAAAAAGATTTAAAAAATACTGTAATACTTAGTAAAGGTAGCAAAGCAAATAAATGAGTGTGTCAAAGTTCTCACCTGTCTGCTTACTGAGGATTTGCTAGGACATGATAACCTTCGGTTAGCTGGAGTGTTGTTGGACTTTCCAGTTGCCCCATTCCCTTTGTTCTTAGCACCAGTTCCAGAGGGGGACACACTGCCAGTAGAATACTTCCGTACCAAAAGTTGACTATCTCTGCTTGCAGTGCTTGAATCTGAGCCACTTGACATTTTCTTCTCTCTAACTCCTGCTCCACCTGCACTTGCAGGACTAGGACTCACTGGGCTTACATGACTTGAAGACCCATCACTGCATAGACTAGGGCTTGGGCAAGGGCTTGCGTTGGGGCTCGAAAAAACTACTGGAGTTACAGGCCCAGCAGCTGTAACAGCTGAGACATTGTCTTCCGTTACATTTTCTGTGCTGTCTTTAACATCTAGCCTTGAAATACTGGAAGATGATGAAGCTTTTTCTAAAGTGCCACAGCTGCTGATAGAGGAAGAATCTGAATCACAGTTCTGAACCTTTCTCTCAGAAATGCAAGGCCCGGGAGGTACTTGTCGGCTCAGTAGTAGTTTTGATGTAACAGCAGTAGATGAGCTCAGAATGTTTTGAGGTTCACTAGGTGAACTACTGGGAGACAAATTATTCATTCCCAGCAAAGATGACACAGTAAGTGGCTTAGAGGCAGGCCTGGTGAAGTCACTGGACTGTGGTCCAGCACACAGACTTAAGTCATCATCGATTGGCAATCTGGCAATTTGTTTACTATTTGCAGATAAAGTGGCTGTGGGCACTTTCTTTAGAGGCTCTGGTTTACTTGCAATTGAAGATCCAGGGCACATAATGGCATAATCTCCAGAGTCATCTGCAATACTGCTCTTCAAACTTGAGTCAATTCTTTCTGACGAATTGGGAGTAAAATTAACATAATCGTGCTTAGGCAAATCCTGTTTACTGCTTGATGAAATAATGCTATTTGATTTAGAAGTTTCCACTTTAGGATATGACAACCTTAGAGTGCCAGTACTCATATCCGCAGGAACCTACAGAAAATAAGTAAAATGATTAGAAACCAATGGTATTGTAAATCAATGGTGAAGATACAGTTCAAAGATCATTAAACTTTCACACAAACCTTCTCTAATTTATCAAATGAGGCTTCAGATAGAGAGGCAGATGTAACAGATGGTTCATCTTCTGTAAATGGTGCCAGAGGGGAGCAAGGGGAATTCAAACTTATGGGGAAGATGGTGGAGTTGGATCCAGTAGGAGTGGTAGTGCTAGTGCTGCTAGAGTCTTTGCTCACTTCGCGATTTCTGCTTCTTCCTAGTGAAGCAAATGGACTGGAAAGAGGTGACTGAGAATCCAGGCTGGAGCCCAGAGGCAAGAAGCCTGGGGGAGCTTTGGGAGGTGTATCCATCATAATTTTTCGATTCTGTAAACAAAAGGCATAAAGAATATTGCACTGCAATGTTCAAAATTGTTGAATGAGAATTTATTACAACTAGGTTGACTTACATGCTGTGGTTGTTGAATATTAATGGGTTGAGACCGGAATTGATTTCTTTCTCGTTTAGTTGAACCTCTCCTCTCTCTCCGGTTCCTGCTAGAAGATCCTCCTCCAGTCATAACCATATAGTCTTCATTACCTGTAGGCTTCTGAGAGTCAAGAGATGTTTTGCGAGGGTTTGACTCTAAATCAGACTCACCCGAAGCCTTCCATCCCATTTCAACATAACCATCTGTTACAGTAGCGGAACTAAGTTCTTTACATTCTGGCACAGAGGTCCTTCTGCAATTAAAATAAAATAACATTTGAAAAAAAAGATTACATAGAGCAAAGAAGTTTGCCATTCCATAGCAAAACTGTATTAAGAAGACCTTTCCCATTCAATAAATTACCTGGGTTTAAAGCTCATGTCTAAGTAATCTTCATTGGTAGCTGAAGAAGGCAAAACATTTGCCGTTGCTTTACTTGTTCCACTGCTTGCTCGACCCTTCATTTCTACGTAGGGACCAGACTCAGCAGGCTGCTTTGAAGCACTGGATGTAGCCATTACTGGCTTCATGGTTGCATTTGATGGGTTCATCTCAACATAAGGACTAGAAACAGCCATTTTGGCCATTTTTGCAGCCATACTGGAGGCAGAGTTGTTTGTAGCAAGAAGAGATGGTTTAATAGGTGGAGATGGAGTTGTCATAGGGAAGTTCTGAGGTTTCAGTTCAGCTATGCAGGACATTCGAGCAACTGCAGAGCGAGGCAGTACATTTGACCGGCTTGGAGGTGATCTTGCCAAACTGTCCGGAGGTGATCGTCCAACAGAGTTTGAGTATACACCTCGCAAAACAGATGTCTTGGGGGGAGACCCAGGCCCAATTGAATCGAACGTTCTTGGTGACCCAACATGATCAACTACGTCAAAACCTTCAGCTGTGGAATAGGAGGATGCAACTGATGACAAGGAAGAATGATGGCTTGGACCTCCTCCTCCAGCTGTTAAGATAAGAAAAGATAGAATTAATTTGTGAATTAACTAAATTATATTTTTGCACACTGGACTATGTCAAAATATTTCTTCAACGTACATGGCACTGATAAGCGGTCGGCTGGTGACATTGCAACATATTCATTAACACATGTGGATTTGGAACGACCTCCAGTTTTTCCTGCATTTTTGTTCCGATTAATTTTAGATGAGCTGGGAACTGAGGGGCTGAAGTCCATTTCCATTAAGTCATCCATGGGTTCAACGCTAGAATGGCTTCCACCTAAAATTTGTCTGTTCATTGGAGAGCTAGACAAAGGGTTTGAGAGGATTGGCGCGCTAGATGACTTCTTGCCACCACCACCACCACCCTGTCATTGGACAAAAAAACAACATGGATGAAGAAGTCAGTTCAAAGAAGATAAGGTACATTTAAATGAAGAAAACTGAGCAGTACCTGTTGCTGTCTCTGTTGACTAGGAGGTGTGAAATGCCCTCCGGCTTGCAGTGCATGTCGAGTTGCATGAATATCATGACCTAAGGGCCTTGACATATATTTTGAGCCAGCGTTGCGGGAGCCAACAGAAAAAGCTCGCACTCGGGAGCAGTCTGTTTGATTTATAAAGTCAATTCTGGAACAAGGGAAACACACATTTAGCTAAGTAATTTGAAGTTACATCTGAAGCACAGTAATAATTGTGTGGGGAAAAAAGCGTACCTGTTTTTCTTATTGAGACTGTCTGGCTTGGAACCAACAGAGTAACATCGAGCTGGTCTTTGTTCACTGTGTTCCTCCTCCTCTGAAGGCGTCAAATAGGAGTTGACTTTCTCCAAGGGATACTCAGAAAAGCGCAGATCTGTGGAAGGAGTTCCGGAAGTTATAGAACAAGAGCTTGATGGTGACATTTCACCATGGTGAAAATCTGTGGAAGCAAAATTAAAAGGTGTGTCAGACAAAAACTGTCCAAACAAAGCTTTATAGTAGGGAAGGGGAGGAGAAGAAATAGGACTCAGAAGTCAAGATACATTACCATCATGGACATCAACTGATTGAGGGTCCATATCAACATAACCATCATCTGTCTGTCCTGGCATCATAGGCACATAACCGTCTGGAGTTTCTTCTGCAAGGCTACTGGTACGACTATGATTCGCAGAGCTGGGCGCTGTATGTTGAAAGTTGCGGTTGTGAAATGCTGAATTCCGGATATTATCGGGTGCATTTCCTGCAGACAAATACAAAAACATAAATACCTGAAAAAAATCTCAAGATTTTAATAATCCTTTAAAAGACTTAAAAATAATGTACCCGGACTCATTATCATGTAATTGCCAGGTGTGTCCATTGGTGAAGACCCGCAGGGGCTGTTCATCTCCATGTAGTTTGAGTGTGAGGGAGAAGTGCCTGCCTTGAGGTTGGCTCCTTGACTACCCCTACCGGGAGAGTACTTCCGAGCAGACCCACTGTGAGGTTGCTGAATAGGTAACGATAATGTTGCGGCCGAAGGCGCCATCGGCATGTAATTGTTCATCTTTTCATCATCACCAACACCTGAATCTAAAGCAACAAATTTCAAGTTTACTTTAAAATAAGAAATGGAATAAATGCACAAATATGTGGAACAGCCTCAAGAAGTGATACCATCTATAAACAGAAATTAGTAAACACCAACCTAGCCCACTGGGACCATTCCAATGAACATAGTCATCACAGTTTTCTTCTTCAATAGGAGACTCAGGCGTCAGAGGGTGATTTGTAGGATATCTACTTGAAATACTACTACTCAGCGTACCATCAGTACCATCCACCCAATTTTCACCATCATCTATTGACAATGATGAGCCTGCAGAGTCAGTAGAACATGCTCCAGATGCAGGACTGTAAAGAGGAATTCACAATGAGAATATTTTCATTAAAAGTGAATGATATTTTATTTATTTTTGAAACTAACCTGACAGGACTAGAGTTATTGACAGGTGGCGAGTGTGAAATTCCCCGATTGTACATAGAATGGGGACGGTGGCAGGCTGAAATGTAGTGCATTGTCCTCCCATACACATGGTGTGGGTGGTGCCCGTGGGTTCCCATAGACCCATGAGAAAATGAATGATTCTCTGTTGGCGCACGAACAGTGGACGGTAGGCTATCAGAACGATCCCTACCAGCAGATGAACCTGAAACACCAGTTTTAAAATAGTAATTAGTCGGTCAGGGGTCGTCAGAGGTCAAAGACACTTCCATCTTGAAGTATAATACTATGAGTAACATCTGCTTAGAATTTAAATTGTTGAAAACAAACAACTGCCCATGGATATCAAGTATGAACCTTTCAGTGTGTGGGCTCCACAAGCACCTTGAGCTCAAACTAATTATTTAGTACAAATTGGGAAGCAGGAAAATGTATGAAAAACATAAAGATGATAGGTGACTGAAATGGAACCCTTTCACCATGAAATTGACTGGACAAACTAACTTGCAACTAATACAAAAATCCTCGTTTGAAACTCCACCAGAGGCATTTCAGAACCAAAACTCAAGGAGATGGCTATAAGTCAAATATAAAAACAGGAAATGTTTAGCAAGCAACAACTTGATGAAAATAACAAATAATATTCTAACTTTGCCACTGCGCTACGCAGGAGATTGGTGAAGGTGCTTGGCATGCAATACGTACAATGTGCACTGTTGGGGCTTGTGCCGACGAGGCCTGTGCCGCTGTGCCGCTGGCCAGTCTGAGCCGCCTGGCCGAGGCCTAGGCCAGCCCTGGTACCCGCACTGCCTCGGCGCACCGAGGTGGAGGGGGGGAGAGGCGACAGGGGGAAGGAGTAAGTACGCTGGTGGTGAACGAGGAGAGGAGTAGTGTTGGATCCCGCCGCCCCAGCCCCAGACCCGGGCATGGTCCCACTGGCACCATGAGGTGCGCATGGGGTGCAAGAAGCACCCTTGCACCCAGAGGCCCAGCAGCTTGCAGCGCCTGGTGTGCTTACTGACACCGCTGCAAGAAGCACCCCTCATGTAAGAGCAGGACAGCTGATTCACTCCACCCCGAAAGCAACATGATGAGATGTAGCGTCACATCCACACCACACAGTGTTCAGCTTTAAAACTTGGAAACTAGGGGCAAGAGAGGGGCTTATCTCAATCAATGAGCAAATTCATTGAATACCTTTGATGTATAATAATAAACGTTAAAAAATTATTCACAGGCTCCAAACTAGCCCAGTTTATGGCTAGACTTCAAAAGCAAGACTTAATAAGCAGAAATACTTGTATTCAACTCGAAATTTCAAAGAGAAAAGGCTGACCACAATGCTAGTGCCCAAATAGTGCAATCCTAAATGCAAGCAACATTAGGATAAAACATACAAAAACACAACATAAAAGACCAAGAGGAAATTATAAGCAGCAGAAGAACTAAAAATCTTTCAGCATGCTTATGCACTCTACCATGCTTTCTAGGTGCACATAAAATCAAAATCAGTCATTCTGAAATGATCTGTACGCCAAAAATGAAAGAAAGTTGAAAAGTGAATGAGACCATGTGATGAAAGTGAACTGGAAATTTAAAATTTATCTGAATTCACAATGACCAAAGTGGACTGACTGTAGTGTAAATTGCTTGTTCAACACAGCAGCACAAATGCATGCCGTCTAGGGAACACAGAATATGCTTTGAATTTTCATCATCAAGTACTGTATATAACTGCTAAAAGAATTAAATTTAAAAAACAGTTTTTAATTTATATCATTGATCATTGAAACAAGGAAAGGGGAGATAGAACTTATGGTAACTAAAACTCCATTGCAAACAAAAAGATGCAGTGGAGTATACAGGAAAAACAACACAATGCCGAGCAGAGTGCTGAGAGTTCAAACTACCTGAGACGGAATGCCTGCGTCGGTTGGGATGTGACAGGATATTATTGTTGACCCTGCACTGTTGCTGTTGCTGTTGTTGGACACATCGTTGCGATAACTGGCAGTACAGGAAATTATATGGCACACTTCCTGTCCGGCTAAGCGCTGACCCATCTGCAGGAATACAACAAATGACTGCAACTAGCTGCTCAGGGCCATACATCTGAGCCAAAATGCATTACAACTCGCCTCTGACAATCATGCAAGATGAACCATTCATACTAGTGCACAGTAAAAAAATGCCCTCTGTTCAGCTCAGATTACTAAACAAGTTCAAGACAACAATGCATAAGTTTAGGACCTAGGAAACTGCCCAAAGTGTACAGTTGCAATATAATATGCAAACTTATCAACTTGCAACTTAAATTTGATTTCTAAAAAATTGAAAAATGATATAGTCTAAACAAGAACAACTAAAAAACTAGCACGTTACAGATAGGCAACATGAAAACCCTATTATGTGGAGCTGACATGCACAAAGCTTAGGCAAAACAAAAAAAGGTCAGGGAGGAGATAATAAGCCTTCCAGCAAAATTTTGTTAATGCCTCATGAAACAAATTCCACCCAAAACAAGCCAACTCAAAGCTGCCCTGTGTGGCTATCATATTCCCAAGCATGACTGACATGTAAATGGTAAAGAAACGAATGCTGTGCTATTTTTGAAAAAGGGTCCAATGAAGGATAATAATGACAAAGGAGAGGAAAGGCATGATTTGACAAATGAAGGAAAAAGTTTTACCATGGTCAGTAGACACCAATCTGCCAGGGACTCTCATTTCACAATATGTGTCTAGGTTCCCAACATATCCAGCGGTGCTTTCATTGACATTTGGCACTGAAGTTTCACTTTCATCTGGAAATTTCACATTGGCATTCAACAATATTCCCTCCGAAGAGAAAGATTCATAGCAAAAATTAAGTGACAAAGAGTTATCCTGGCAAATCATACCATGTTTCTCAGAGGCCGAATTGTTGTGCCTCCTATTTGTCACAGAAATGGGTCTTGTAGGTTCACTCACAGATGCTGAGCGTGCTATTTGCCTTGAGCCACTGTCATCGCTTCGGATTCTGTCATCACCTCTGCTCCTCATAGCACTGTAAAAACAATAACTCAAAATAGAAAGAGCAAAACTAAAAGTAACAGAGCAAGATGGAAAATAAAACTTACTGTATAGCACGGCTCATATCCTTTGCTATGACTGCATCCTCAGCCAGCATCCATATCTCTCCAGTACCAGTAACAGCATTTCTTCCCACTTCCATATAAAAGAATGACTCAGCACATCCAAATGACCTGATGTTTATAAGCTGAAATTGAAAAGACAGACAATTATTAATTAAGGGTAACAAGAAAGGGATTTTATTTTGAAGTGTTAATTGATAAGCAAGATTACCGGGAATTCCAAAATATCCTTGGATCCATCAGACAAGATCCTGACTAGACTCACAGTTCTTCCAGTCAGACATAAATGGTACGGGCCATTTATGCCTCTTGTAGAACCTAAACCTTTGTTTGCAACTTCGACCTTCCACACATGTTCTAAACACCAAAATGAAAACAGAAATAAATGCTAATTCAGTTTTTCAGTCATCACACAATTAAAATAAAATTTAGATCAAGGTAGTCACATACCAAATACAGGCTTAGGTGCTTCACCATCTGTAACATCGTCACCATCTTGAAGTGCCCACAATGCTCTGAGCCAGGCTTCTCTTTCTTCTTCTGACTCCAACACGATACAAAAACAATCATCTTTTGTATATAGAGCAATAACATATTTTGGTTTCATATCCGTACGTCTGTTAATATTAAAGCAAGCCTTCAAAGAAATGCTTCTCTTTGGCTGCTGATGAGCCTTAAATTTTTTCTCATTATCATAATATTCAAGGCGTGCTGGATAATCAGCTGACTCGCATCGCAGCACAAAGTATTTCTTTTTATTGGTCTGCAAAGTCACAAAAACAGCAAAATCAAAAGGGTGAAAAGAATTGAAAATGAAGGTGTTAAGACGTAAAAATCAAACACATTTCAGACAGTGTTACGATAAAGAGAACAAAACTTAAAGTTAAAGCATAGAAAGTAATTACTTTTAATTTCTTGAGGTTGCCTGTTTTAACAACTTCTCCCCGGTGGCCTTGTGGCGGGAGGGAAGCCACCGAGGATGCATCGCCCAACGGCGATGGCGTGTTCACAGACATAGTGATTTAGACAAGGCTCCGACACACATTCCGGCATCTGCAAAGAGAAACATGGGTCAGCAAAAGCACAATACAAAAATAAGAATCACACATATAGAATTGAAGCTAGTAACATTAATCTTAACTTAATTAAAAATATTGAAACAAAGACATAGGTTACAATATTTTAAACAAAACTACTGTTGATTTTGAAAACTCTATATGTTTTTCAATCTAATTTGACAATGGAGGAATTTTAAATCAGAACTAAATTTGAAAGAAAAAAAACCAAACAGAAAGCCGAAAAGTAAATAGAAAATCAATTTATTTGGCAGAGTTTGGAAAATGAATATTTTCAAAACAATCAGCAGCATAACCTTAATCTGAAGCTGAAACTGCTGATTTCCCGTAAATTAACAAAGTTTAGTGCCACAGCTGACATGAACTTGCATAAGAATGAGCTCCAAATAATTAAACGTACTTAAAAAAATGCGTAAAATTGAAGGGAAAAAAGCGGCGAACCACAACGGAAACATGGCACAGCACAAACACCAAAACATAACCAGGACACACATAACCTCAAAAATTGCATTTTCGCCCAATCATTGCACATTTGAGTAGTTATTTTGATAATTCGAGGATAAAATAAAGAAGTGTCATCCAAGATAAATTCAGAACAACATTACTCTAAACCACAGCTGTTTTTGCAAATGGTAAGGAGACCAAAATATAGTTGAGCCTTAGCATGTGCTCGGGCCAACGAAGGCTTGTTTAGACAGTGAATAAAGGAGGAAATCACACTTTGCAAGGAAATCAGGCATGTAAGATGATCATGCTTAAAATAACAGTTAAAATTAGGACGATAACACACTGCCATGTATATGTTTACGGGAGTAATCATAGCAGACTACACTGTGTTGACATCCGCACGTACATAAATGTCGTAGTTGCGATTCAGCGAATCCGATGTCTTGTTCCGTTTTCACGCTCACATCACAAACTTGCTGTCGGGGTCAAAATCTGGCAGCAGTCAGGTTTCTTGGCATGACCCAAAATGTCTTGTGTCGCAATCAAAGCAATAGCTGGCCCGCGGGGCCCCACTACCAAGGGCAGGATCATTCTGCGCAATAACCTAATAAACAAACATTCTTCGGTGAAGTATGCCTTCCTGCGCCAAGTTCACCAACACTGCACTTTATCGCCACACAAACTGTCTGTCACTCTCACTGAGTTCACTTTTAATCAAAAGCACTCATAGCAGAGGCTACGGAGCAAAACAACACATTCCGAGAGTTCCGAGCATCAGCCAGACGAAAAATGTGCTAGCGGATCGCACCACATTTATCGGCGATACCCGAGTCAGAGTCACTGCCGTCGTCGTCGTCCACACTTTCTCACGGCGTCGGAGGAGATTCCTATGTTCTGGCGGCGGTATTACGCGCCCGCACCAATTGTCCACCGATGTTTTTCCGATTTTCACCAACACACCACCCAATAAAATACGTATCAGAATCCATCTTGGAAAAGGTCATGTGTGTACACGGTCAGTAGAGTTGTAAACAAGTGGTGCGCAGGCGCACAAGGCAGAGGCCTACAACTCGACGCGGAGCGCGGACCGGACGCTCGCTGCGGCGCGGTGCGGCGGTGGGGACGAGACGGGGGCGCGGGGCGCGGGGCCCATCGGGGAGGGGGGCTTCAGAGAGAGATATATATATATTCACCCAGAGAGAAAGAGAGACAGAGAGAGCCGTAGCGCTGCCGCTGCGTAGCGCCCAGCGGAGGGGAGGGGCTAGTCTGGGCTAGAGAGGGGGCAGGCCGTGGCGCCCAAAACTTGAGAGGATGGCGTTGCAGGCAGCCGGACTTCCCTCTCCAAATTCAAGGTCGTCATTCCAACAGTTTTGGAACATTTTTATTCGAACATATTATTGCAATCCCGTGGAAACGTCCTCTTGGATTTTGTGAAAATGAAAGGCTTAGTCTCAAAATACGGCGGCACTGAACAAAAGCATCGAGGACAGTGCGGTGTGTTTCGCGTCACGCGCTACGCTCTGCCGGACGATTTCGAAGAACCGCTTTGTCGTTTGTCTCTCACGCACCCCTGTGAAACGCTCCACGAGTGCGACGAAGACAGAGCGACGGAACGATTTTTCGGATTGAGTTAGCTCGCTGCGCAAGGCGCCGCCTGCCGCGTGCCATCGGCGTGCTGCCCGTGACCGGGGGCTCTGCGGACCTGTGCTGAGCTGTGCGGAGCTGTGGCGGAGCTGGCGACAGGACAGGGACGGCGGACCGCTGCGGACGCAGGCGGACGCGACAGGACAGGATGTGGCGGATGACTCCGCGAGGCTGCGTGCTGCGTGCTGGCCCCGCCATGGCCCCGCCGCCAAGGGCCGCCCAGGGCCCGCTGGACTTCCCTGGCGGCCCTATGGGCGGCCCTATGGGCGGCCGCGGCCCTTCCGGCGCGCCGCCAACGTGTAGGGCTGGCTAGGGCCTGGCTAGGGCTGGCGGACGGGTGGCAGCGGGGCGGGGATCAGGGAAGTCCCCTAGCTCAGGGTGGCCGACGGGGTGCTCGGTGGCGCGGCGGCGCGTCCGTCTGCCGCGTGGCGGCGTGCGGCGTCGTCGCCCTGGGCCGTGGGCTCTAAAAATAACAGAATCAAGTGTGCGAGGGAAACAACCGGGAGAAAGGCAGCGAGAAGAGAATGCATCGGATTGGCGTCTCGGTGGGGCGGGGCGGGGCGGGGGCGACTCTGCGGAACGGGCGCGGGGCTGGAAGACCCGCGGCAGGACGCGGCAGGACGCCACGCTGCCAAGCTGGCGCGATTATTTGATTGGCTCGGCGACTCGGCAGTGTGACGCAGTACACATCACGTCATTGATCCGAGTGGCGGCGGCGGCGGTGGCGGCGTAGCTGCGTGGCGTACGGGCGGGGCGTGGGCCGTAGTGGAGCGGTCGGTGAAGCCTTGCTGGCTCATTCATGACGCGCCGCGCCGCTGGCTGGCTCGCCACAGCCGCTCCCCGCGTACGGCGGTACGGCGCTACGCTTCGACCCGCCGTGCACGCGGCGGCGCTCGCTCGGTTTTCGGCTTTCGGCGTCGTGGCGCCCGGTTCAAACAAACGCGACCCTGATGGGAGGCGTCGGTGCCGTCGGTGGCGTCGCGGGGAGGGGAGGGGGTGGGGATAGAACGAGACTGGGCTGGTTTCTGCCAGGTTCGCCGCCCGGCCGCGACTACCGCGACTCGGTCGTGTGGCAGTGCCTGGCGGCCTGGCAGTGCGATATCTCAGCGCCCACTACGCCCACTACGCCCACTGTGCCCACACTGTGCCCACACGCCCACGCGGCAAGCACGAGCAGCCCGACACTGACAATAGCGATACGCGGAGGGAGGAGTAAGAATTGCATTGGCTCGCGCTGAAACGAAACAGAACGAAACGAAACGTGTCTCGAAGCATCCTTCGTTTTCCTTTCTTCGCGAGACAGATCTGCTCGCTCTGTCTCTGAGAGCGAGAGAGACAGCGATGGACACCCCGGAGCGGCGTCGCGGCGTACCGCGGCAGGGGTGCATTTGTCAGTGCGCGCTTGAAGCTGCATCGGCGTTGCACGGCGGCTTGGCTCGGCTCGGCTCGGTTCGGCTCGGCCGAGGGGGTGGCGTCGGCGTCGTCGCGGAAGGCTCCTCGAGGAACGGCAAGGAGTCGATCTGCGGCCCTGCGGGGGCAGCAGGGGCCTAGGGCCCCATGGAGCCATGGAGCCTCCAGGGCGTGGCTGGGGCGGCGAAGGCGTGGGGCTGGACTTGGCGGTGGTGTAGCACAACATGGCACGAGGCACGCCCAACCGAGGGCGCCTGCGCGGACCCTGCCGCCACGCGCGCGACGCCGCGCCACGCCTCAGACGCCGTGGTGTGGGCGATGGGGCGGCCAGGACGGCGGGCAGGATTAGACATTGCACCCCAGAGCTGCACCAAGAGCATTATTTTCATCGAGAACAGCGACGGACGACCCAGACCAGCCCAGGCCAGCCCCGGGGCGCGCCAAACGATCTTGTTATTTTCTGGTGATGCGTGTCGTTTGTGTGTCTGGGTCGAACGCGGCCTGCACGGCCTGCCCTGCACTTTGCGCATGCGGAGGCCGGGCGGTCGCGAGGACACGACGTCCGCAGCCCGGAGTGGAATCAGTGGAATCCGGCCGATTCTGGAGATAAACTGGCAAGCTGGCAAGCGAGAAAACAAGATTATGTAACGGAATGGCGCGCCGGCCGCGGTGCCGCTGTGCCGCTGCCATGTTGGCCATTCGGCCGCAGTGTGCCACAGTGTGCTCGCCTCGCCGCGCCGCCCGATGGTCGCCGCTCGCTGCCCATGACACCTCCAGCATCTCTTCAAATGCATTCGCCATTGTTTGCTCTCCGTTTTGCACTAGATGATCGTTGGAGTTGGCGAAGGCTGTGCATACTCGCCATCACATCACTCAATGGTTTCCGGGAAATAATACAAATTTCATGTCAGTCATAAAGAATTTTAATCGATTTGAGAAAATGCGGTACAGGTACAATTTGATGATGTGTTGGTTATGAGACAGCCCGCCGAAGACGCATCGCTGCCTTGTTTAATGGTGCTTTTCCCTTCTGTGATAACAAAAGAGAAGTTTTGTTGGTCAAGACACTGGAAAAGTTGCAAACAAAGTGGCAAAGTATACTTTGCTTTTGAGGCTATGCGAGTTTACCTGCACTCATTGCACGTTCAGGAGAGCACCGCTCAGGGGAGCCGCAGCAGTGACAGTAATAAGCCTAGAACACATGAAAAACACGTGAACAATCTAATCGAACGTGAATCTGTCTTCGTATTCGCTAAGGTATGCTCACATCTGCTGATGGCTCCCCAAATTATTATTCATGAATTCCCCATCCGTATTCTTTTTGAAGTTGTGCACGGAGTAACGATTGTACAGGCCCCAGATGGAATTCATTAGCTTGCTGTTGTACTTCAGGGGAGGGTCTTCGCAAGCTGGAGAGAAAGTTCAATCATTAGCTCGTGATGAAAGCGCCAGTAAATCGGTTTTGAACTGCAATAAGGGTACTGACCTAATTCAGATCTGCCGGGGTCCACCCGTTTGGCGTTGTTGGCGGACACTGCCCGTGCCGCCAGCACCCCGTGCGGTATGGCGCTCATGTCGTCCTGGGCCTGCGACTGGTGGCAGCCTGGGGAACGAGGAAAAACGCCGTGAGCAGGGAGAACGGGGTGGAGAGCCAGTAGGCCGCGCGTTTTACGATCAGTTGTGGTCCAGTCCGTAATGGTAATGGTAATGACAGGAGGCAGCTCTGGGCACGCGCCTGCTGGATGGGCTGCCTACCCTCCGGGCGAGGCACCCGACGAGGCACCGACGCCTCGTGCCGGACAGACAGACAGACAGACAGACAGACAGACAGACAGACAGACAGACAGACAGACAGACAGACAGACAGCGAGACTGCGAGACTGCGAGATGGGGACATGGCCGACGTGGACCAGACAGATGGAAAGGGGCTTCTAGGACCCAGGCCGCAAGGATACCTGTCGCAGAGCGGGCCAAAGCGAGGTTGAACGACGAGACGAGGCCCGGCGGGGTAGGCAGGGGCTCATGCTGCCCATGCCGCCCATGCCGAGTGGCCCGCCCCGCTACGCCACGCCGCCATCGCCAGATCATCGGGTCATGTCAGTGGTCACGTGGAATTTCTGTTTACTGATCCCGCCGGGGTGGTCCGACCCAGTCGATGGTTTTTGATAACAGCGCCCCCCCCCCCTCCCCATTCCCAACCGCTTGTCGCGGCTGAACCGACCCGGCCCGAAATAGAAAGGGCAAGCGACAAGCCAAACTAGCAAGCAGGCAAGCAGGGACAGAGAGGTTATATTTGAAGCGACAAACTCCCCCTCCCCGCACCCCGCCACGCCCCGCCGCCTCAGACGGTCCCGGCTGGCCACCGTCTCTTCCTCTTCCGCCCCTTCCCCCTCCGCCTCCCCTCCCCGCCTGCCTTATCGCGCCATTTGACAGGTGGCGGCAGTGGCGGCGGCACTGGAAGGCACTGGGTGGCGCTCCCCTCGTCAACCGAAGTAGCAGCGACGCGGACCCACAGTGCCATTTTGGGCAGAACTCCGATTGGCTTCTTTTTTTACGGATAGGAATTCCGCGAATACAGAGATTGTCTTTTATGTTGTAGATTAGTAGAGGAGCTGATTCGTCACTGATTAAAAAGCCCAAGTGGGCCCAGTTCCCACTTTTCGGTGCCAGTGTGTTGGCCGGGGTGGCCCGTCGACAGGCGGTGCGTGCGTCCGTTGGGAGGCCGCCTTACACAATGTGCTCTCGATGGGCTGCGGCGGCTGGACCAAGTAGCGCGCAGGCTCGCGGAGGAGTACGAGAGTTCCAGAACAAGGAAGAAGCGCGCGATGGTGTCATAATGTCATGCCAGGGCGGCAGGAAGACGTAAGCTGGGCGTGAGCGATTAGTGACAAAGGGAGCGACGTGAGCCCAGCGCAGCAGAGCAACCCCCGGGACGGGATGGTCTAGGCTGGACGGAAAGTTTGGCCGAAGAAGCGAGAGCGTTCGGGATAGTGGTTGCCATGCTGGGGCCGGGCAGGCCGGGCAGCGTGGGCCACTGGGGCATGATGCAAGCTGGCGGGCCTCGCGGGTGCGGACCTTGCGGGTCAGGACGGTCAGGAGCACGAGGCGCGACTCGCCTCGCCGTCGGCAGTCGGCACCGGGGAGAAAGCACGCTGTAGAGAGGAAAGCAGGGCGCCGTCCTGTAGCTCGCAGGCGAGTCCAACGAGTCCAAAGCAATGCACTGCGCCCCCAAGACCCGCCGCGGACGGCCGCGGACTTGGCGCGCGTCCCACTCACCTGTACAGGTGTCAAACAGGATGTCCTTGAGCTGCCGGAGCGAGAGGGACGGGGTGGGGGGAGGGGAGGGCGCGACGCCCGGCTCGGCGACGACGGCGTCGGTCACCATACACATAAGAACGGGGGGTGAATGTTCGGGGCGGCCAAGGCACTGCAGACACTGCGACGGCGGAACGGGCGGGCTGCAGTAGCTGCAGCTGGGGGATGTGGCCGATGGGGACGGGGACCGGCACCGGCAGGGGTGGCTGGGGCGGCACGGACGCAGACGGGGCGACTCGACTCGACGAGCACCGAGGCGCAGGCGGATTGGACTGGCAGACTGGCACTGACCGATTAGCGATATCGCCTTTATAACCTCCACCGCCCGCCTCCCCGCCCCGCCCCGCCCCCAGCTGCAGCGATAGTGCACATGGTTGCCAAGCCGCCGCCGGCTGCCGCAGTATCTGGGGGTTCTCCTTCCCGACAGTGACGACAGCTGCAGCTGCGGCGGGGCGGCGGCGGCTTGGCGGCGGTGTGGCAGCGGTGTGGCGCGGCCCCCCGCAGAGTGCAGTGCGCCGCGACGGCGGCGGCGTCACCAGCTTGGCAGTGACGGGGCGACGGCGACGGCGACGGCGAGACGGGGCGCCCCCCGCAGGTCGTCTGGCCTTGGCGTCGCGACGTCACGCCAAAGCGCTTTGGCCGGGGAAAGGACCAAATCCTGCAACATCGCCGACGCTTCGCCCACTTCACGCTCCGGGCGCGCGGCGCTTTCGACTCCCAGCCTGCATTACTCGGACCCGTTTTTAGCAGATGATACCTTTACACATTCAATTTAACATAATACAAGAATACCAAACCTGCAAGGTGTCAGCTAGCTTGTACTCTGAGAACGGGCCCAGGACGGGGCCGGACAGTGCGTCTGGCTGACTGGCTTGGCTGGGAGGCGCAGCCGGTGGAATAAGCCCATACAACCCCATAGAAGAAAACCGAAGACACAGACTTTATTGGTCTTTGTATTTTATTTCATACAAAATTTTAAATACTAGCCCCTGCTACCGCGCAGAGGAAAACCAAACGTTCGTTGAATGAGATTTTTTCTTTTTAGGTCGTTGCAATGTTTTGACGGACGCCGCCGCGCCGCCGCCGGCCCCACCCTCGTGCGCCGTGGCGGCAGCTGCCAGAGCGGCTCACTGCGCATGCGGCGCGCTGGCGGCCTGGCGGCCCTGGCTTTCGCCGCGAAGGGCTTTGCGCACGGCCTCGCGCAGAGCCTCGCGCAGAGCCTCGCGCAGGGCAGCGGCGGAAGGGCTGAAGGGCTGGAAGGGCGTGGCGGGCTGGCCCAAGGGACGTTCCAGAACGCGGTTCTCCCAACCTAACCAGCCCGCCGCCACGTGGAAGCATGACAAGGGCATGGCCGGGGCATGGCCGGGGCATGGCAGCCGAGCACCGGGCAACCAATGAATGGAGAATGCAAACACCAGCGATAAATCTCAACCACCTCGGCGTGGTTGACGGGACTTGGGACTGGAGAAGAGAGGGGGCCCAAGGGACACGAATTTCGGCCCGGCGCTCTCGCAGGGCGTCATGTTGTCATGTTGCGACGCAGTAAGTGGAATAAATTTCGGCCCGAACATCGAGATCTTTGCAAATTGCTTACGGGGCAATACGTCGGGCGTTTGTTTGGGGTTCGGACCTCCCAGGCCGCCTTCCGCCTTGGCACCCCCAGGAAAAACAAGTGCGCAGTGCGCGGGCGTGTCTCCACCAGGTTGATGCTGGTGGGAACCTGCACCCCGGACCCCGGCGAGGCCCGCGGCGCCACCCAGCACCCAGCGCCACCTAGCATCACGGGGGTGAAGCAGCGCGGCGATGCGGCGGCCCTCGGCCCCAAGCCCCTCGACGCGCAGGGTATCGCCGTGGCGGGAACACGCCGAACCGCCGAATGCGCCCCGGGGCCGTCGGGCCGTCCGGGCCGTCGTCGTGGTACGGCTGACTCCCGCGCGGGGGCGGCACTGCCTCGGCACTGCCTCGGCACTGCGGCGAGGAGCACCGCGCATCACCACCGCCAATAAGCTAAACACATATCGTCACCCGTGCAGTGTGCTTCTTGGAGGGGCTCTTTCGTTTAAGCCCCCGAAGGTTTCTTCAGCTTAAAACATGTGCGTGTTTCGAGCAAGATCAACGCAAATCTCATGAACTTTTCGTCGAATTAGAAGGTCCTCTTATCACTCAAAAGTGCGCAAAAGTGGCTTTGCGTTTGAAAGAGAATGTGATTTTCTCTGGCAGACGTGGGAGTGGGACTCATGGCACTTGATTTGATTTGACAGTGTCAAAAGAAATAAAGATTGTTTTGTTCTTTCCTTCCCCGTCGTGCATGGCCCTTCTCTTCTAATAGGAATTCTGCGAGGCCATCGACGCATTGGTGGTGCAAAGGAATGTCCCGGCTGCCGCTGGAGCGGCTGGAGCGCCCGAGACGCTGGAGACGCTCAAGACGTTCAAGAGGCATTGTCGCACATCCAAGAATGGACGCCGGTCTACGCCGGGACGACGCCGGGGCGTGAGGGCAATAAGCAAGCGTCTTTCTCTCTCGCTCCGCCCTTATTCTTTCCCATTTTCCTACAGCGCCGTGCCATCTGCCGCCGGACCGACGCCCCGCCATCCCTCCGGGCTTCCCCTTCCCTCCGACCCACCCCGTCCGTCGCCCAACGGCAAAGCCTTTCAAAAACAGAATCAGAATATTATTTTTTCCCCAAACAATGCAAGAAGGTTGTCGTATGCGGTGGTTACATATACGAAAAAACAAATGGAATGTCATTTTTGACGGCAATATACTGCCACCTCCGTAATCTTGGCTGGCTGGCGCGCCACAGCCAATTGTCTGCCGCAATGCACACTTCCCCTAATGTGACAGGGCGGAGCGGCAGAGGCAGAAACAGGCCGTGGAAAGGGCGAGGGGTGAGGGGGCTCTCCGTTTTCCATATGTGCGGCGCGTCACGTCGGGGATCGAGACCGTCATGCGGTCTTTCCCTTCACTGCAGTGAGCGATATGCGGCCCCCGGGGAGAAGGAGGGCCAGCACCGCCAGGACCAGGGGTGGGGTTGATGGAACTGAAGTCGGCGCGAGAGAGGCCTCAGACGGCAGGCCGCGGCAGGCCCTGCCTCGCCTGGAGTCTTTCAACGGCTGCATAGACACCACCGAGAGAGAGATTGGAGTATGGATCCGAAATGGTGTGCCTGCACGAACGTGCCGAAGATGTCGTTTTGGGGGGAGGGAGAGCTCGGCCATACCGCCGGGCAACCAATGAGAGCTTTGTTGTCTGGAAGAGGTTTCCTGGTGATTCGATCAACGGCCCGCGGGCCTCGCCTCGCCCTGGCCGCTCCGTGGGACCGCCCACCTCACCCAACCCAACCCCAACCAAACCGAGCTCAACCCCAGCCCAGCCCAACCGCCCTGCAGGGTACAGTGCGTGCAGGCTGCGCCATGCCTGCGCCGAGAGCACCTGCCGCGGCCAGCAGGCACATCCCGAACTCGTCGCTCCGTCTCTCTCGCGCCCTTTCTGAAACCCCGTGAGGGAGAAAGAGAGAGAATGCACTGTTCGGAACGAGCCTGCAGGTGGCACGGCAGCACGGGCAGGTCGAAGCGCTGCTCAATTAACTCCTCGTCCGGGTTCTCGCTCTCACTCACTCTCAGGGTCGTAGGCTCCGGGATCATCTGCTGGTCTCTGTCGTATCGTACGGCGATTTTATTTGGCCAGCCAGCACGTCCTTCCGTCTCCCTCGCTCAGCAACTACTCAAGCCCCAATAGGGCGAGAGAGAGGAGAGACATGAGCGAACGAACGCACTGTTCGGATTCACTTGCATTGTGGTCGCAGGGGGGGAAAGTTTAAAAAATCGCCCGCATTGTTTCTATTGAACGATGCGTTTCATCGACTGGCTTTCCTAGCAACCGATGCATGCCGTGTCGAGTGTGCGATGACGGCGTCCTGGAAATGGGGCGGCCATTCGATACCCACCGCGTCCCGACGCTCCGCGCCCCCAGCACCACACATGGCTCTGTCCGCTCGCCGCTCTGCCCGCCTTGGGGCCTCCATAGCGTCCCCAGGGGCTCGGCGGACCCGCGCGGCGGAAGGGACACTTCCGGTGAGGATGGAGTCGGGGATGGCTTGCACCCTCCAGCCCATCCAGGCCGTGATCCACCCGCCGGCCGCCCCGCCAGGCCGCCACCCCCATAACCTAGACTACTGCCGTGCCCTGCACTGCCGGCCCGCGCTCGGCCCGCGCGGCCCGCTCGCCCTACTGGCACGGAACCCGACCGCCGGCAAGGCCGGCCCCGGCCAGGCCGCTCTCCCTTTCCCCGCTCTCCATTCTCGCTGTCCCCGGGCAGGACCTGAACCAGTGCGACGGACTGGCTCGAAATCGGAGCCGTAAACGTTTCGGTAGTAAATTTTCCGCGCGGCGCAACCCCCGCCGCTCCGCCCCCGCCTCCGCGTCGACGGCCTGCCCGGCCTGCCCCGCTCAGGCTCGGCTCTCCGCCTTGCCCGCCGTGCCGATCGGGTTGTCCGGGTTGTCCGCTTGCCGTCCGCCCCAGACGCCGCGCCGCGTCGCGTCTGGCCCTGATTCAATCTGGAGACAGAGGGCCTGGGCCGGGCTGGGCCTGCCGAGTCGGCGCGGCGGGGCGGGGCGGGGCGGGGCGGGCACTGCGAGACAGGCGGTAATCGCATTCGCCCATTCGGCCGCCCATTCGGCCGTTCGCCACACCACGGCAATGACGGCGCTGCACTCGATACTCGATGACGTCGTCGCCGATCGCGGGTCATTACGCCGCCAACGGCGTGCGTCGTGCCGTGCGTCGTGCTGAGGCGTGCCGAGGCGTGCGGCCCGAGAACACGCCAACACGCGAACACGCGCCCCGGGCACGCCGCCAACACGACAATGCTGCGGCGAGCGGAGCGCAGTCAGGTGCAGCAACGTACTTTCATCTCTCTCGCACTTGTGCGGCGTCCCGTGTCGGGTACGAGAGAGACAGAGCGACGAAGCGCTCACTTTTCGGAATCAGTCTACTGCCCGAGACAATAGGCGCAGCGTCAGCAAGCGTCAGCGCATCGCTGGAAACGTGAATATCTGTACTAAACTCACATCTACTTGTGACAAGCCGCTTTGCGCGGAAATTGTTTTGCCATCCGGGAAACGGACTGTTTTAGTGCTCTACGCAGTACTGCGTAGTGCCTGTGGATCATAGAACCCAATGCACTGCACTGCACACCTTCCCTCCGTCCTTGTTCCTCCCGGGCGCGTCGCTTTGCCGCGCTTTGCATGCCACATCGGTCTTCACTTCACTTTTATGCCTTCTGGGAAGGAATGACGC